AGGATTTTGTTCGCCAATTTCTTTGTCTAAAAATTTTTATATCCACTGCCTTATCATTGGGTCTGTGTAACGTTGGATTGCATGCATCGTTTCGGTACCCACTTTCTTCCATCTAGACCTCTGCCCCATTCCATTGGCATCCCAAGGTACCTACTATCAACACTGGTATACTGCGCCGTATACCTAGTAGCTCCGCTACTCATGCGCCTACATCGGTCGCGACCTAAAATCTCATCCTAAGCTCACTGTGCGCCGTCTGTGCACAAAGTCATAATATATTGTCGTCCTATTTGCATAGCAACTAATGTTTCACAGTGATGGATGAATCCTATAGTCCAGGTTTCACGGCAGTGCTTCTCACCAACCTTTGCTAGGGTGGTCGAATTTTAATTCTCGCTGGCGTCGCGGATATCTCGAGTAATTAATATATACTCAAACCCTATCAATAATACTTTTATAGACGTCGGGAAAATATCTATCTTGGGTAACATTGGTCTCCGACTCGGCAGCGGATTGGCCCTTTGAGACTCAGGTCTCCTTCCGAACTCCCCGATACCGATCGTCTGCGCAATTAGCAGTGACAGCAATGCAGGTAAGGGAAGGTCCTAGAGAGTGCCCAGTGACCACGATGGAATTTATGATCGACTGGCTTATCTAAACCATGAAAGATGCCCTCGAAATTCTGTACACGTTTGACCGTCTATCGCGCAAACTGAGGAAATTCAAACAAGTTTGAGGTCGCCAATTTCCCTTCCCCTGACTGGACGCACCGCCACCCGAAGGAACCTTACATAAATAACGAGTAATAGCATTAACAAATTTACACGATATCACCTCGCAGGAATTTAGATTTTTATGAACTTCTTGTCTGGAAATCAGACTCCACGAACCCAAATAAGTCTGAACATTTCGTTTCGATCAACACCCAAGACGACGAACGACATCCCTATCGTTCAAAGCGCTACTCACCGGCCCCATTTCTAGTCTACGTTGACCTTGAGCGAGTACCTACGCCGTACGACTCGTTAGTTCGTACGCCGTCTCCATGCGGTCCGTCACCGGGGACTTGGGGCCCGAGCGGGAAGTCGGCGACAATTTATCAAAATTTTGCACGCTCGCCCTTTGATCGACAGATACGGTTGTGTTCCAGACCCGTCTTTCCGGAAGTCTGTCTCCCGTATTGCCCAAACATTATATGGGCCCGTTAGAGTTTTCTTGTCTGTTGCCATCACCAACTGCCAGGAAAACCTGAGCGCAGCGGTGAGAATTATTTTCCATAATGCGCACGTCCTTCCCAGAGAGTTTTATCCCTACATCCTCCTTGTTCAACTTAACAGCCTTAGGATCATGCCCGAAGCACGCGATCGCATCCTTTGCTACCTAGTCTTTAGCGGTAAGCACTTTGCGGATGGATCGATGTATGTAGTCCATCCCCCACGCATTGAGCGGAGGGGTTTCCAGTAACAGCGATAGGTTCCGAACTCAAGGTGGAGCGCTCTCTCATGCTTGGATGAAAATGCCCCGTGGGGATTGTTGATAAGGGATTCACTGCGGAGAGCGTGCTGACAGAACCTCCTTACCACCCAGCTCGATATCAAACCGACTTGACTCTCCAACTATGAAGCATTTACAAAGTAGGCGATAGGAATAATCTTCCGATCATTGCGTCCGACAACTTCTAGACAGGCGACGGCTTCGGTGTGGCATTGGCCTTTTTTTTTTTGTGACATCAATATCACCAAACCCCACCCAGAACACTCTATACAATCGCAATCGATGGTCTCGATCGGTCTTGACCTTGTCATGAGGGTTGCGACCATCCATGCGGAGACGCATCGCCTTCGAGGCAAAGCTATCCACCAACGTCCCTAGTCTCTAACCTTGCCAAAATAAAAGGTCTGCAATGGGGAAGATCACTGGCCGTTCACAATGCCTGTCATCGAACAGTGAATGAGGGGGAAATAGCGCATATCTTGACCGGATGAACCCGTGTTACTGAAAAGTGTATCTCAAGATAAACGAAGAGTAGAATCGACTACTGTATACCTTAGGGCTCAGACGTCCGTGCAAGCTCACCGGTCAACCAACCATCGGCCACGGTACCCAGAGCTGGCGTAACGGCCCCATTTAGTGAAGTTAAAGCTTGCTCCAAAGTGCGGCCCCAAATACACTAAGACCTACTAGGAGGACGTATGTCTACGCATAGACAGCGCTAGGGTCTCAGCCAGGCGCCAAAGCCTTAGCATCCGAGTTGAGAAATCTACGGCTATCCGTGTCGGGTTATGAACCCGTAGCTCGCTTTCGCCTTTTGAAACAATGACGCCGGCTATCTGGTTTCCGAAGGTTGCCATAGGAGCAAGTCGCATAGAACATACTAAGTAAGCCAGTCTTGGTTGAGATGCTTGAGGTACTCTGAAGCTATCGGGGTAGGCCCCACCAGGAATTGCCTCTCAATGCATTATACTGCATCCTAGATTTCTGATCATGTAACCCTAACTAATTAACCAGCCATGTTGAACAAACCTATGCTCCTAGCAAAACCTTTATCCCGATATTAATCCCACTGCATATTCAGTTAACGACAAACAAACGCCGCCCAGACTGCAGCAGCTCACATGAACTCTTATCTCCAGAGCATCTCCTCACTCCCCGCCCGATAGACAGCGCGGTCCCCCGATTCCTATTAGCCCGGACCCCCAAAGGCCGTGCCTACCACTGGACCGGGGGTGTAGCTCGCACGGACATTATCTGACTCTCAAGAGTAGCTACGGTGAGCAAGGTAGGTATGTACGTGGGCAGGGCCTGATGAGACGACGGGGATCCGAGCGTTGAAATCCCCTCTCCATCGTATTCCCCCTAGTGTGCATTCCCCTCCTTTCAATGTATGCGATGCAATGTCGACATTATCGCCAATGTCCTGCACTTCCATACCTCAGTAGGTCAAAGTTCCTCCTGGTAAACAGTGCATCGCCCACGTATGCACCAAATACATCTGAATCACCTCCAACTCCAAATCCCCTCATCAGCCTGGCTCCCTGAAACTACTAGTAGGTGTCACAAACACAGCCACGCGGGGTAACAGCTTACATGCTCACCATCATCGCCATTATCATCATCATAATTATCATTGTAGCCTACAACGCATCCTGGAACTGAGTAAGCTCAAGTCGCGACTGCCAACTCATCAATCCTGTTCCCCGCTTTGGGAAGCTTTGTCCTTTGCCCCAGGTCGCTACCCCATACCCCATACCCGTCGTTTGCCGATTAGCACGAAACTCCTTTTTTGGCTTTATGCTCTGCAGCAGCTGGGTGGAGAAGGCGTGTTTGGGAAGGTCTCTGCGATAGGTTGATTAGCTTGCGGGGTAGATAATTTGATGTAGGTTTTGGTAGGGTTTGATTTGTGTGCTTATCGATGGTCTGATATTGTGGTGTGGCTATGATAGGAGAGCACCTGTGGTTCTGGACTTCTTGGGTAGAGAGACCTTGCCATGGTGTGGTCTGGGCAATACGAGGTATCTTTGTGTGGATAGTAGTCTCAAACCTTGGAATTTAGTTCTCTCGCGTGCTTCGTGAATTAACGGTCCAGTCCTTTTAATCTTTCCTTGAGATTTACATTTCACGGAGGATTGACTTTACTCAGAAACTTAAAGCTCTCTGAAGCCATGGCCCATAGCGGTTAACGTATTCGTCGGATCCGAGATATCGCTGTCGAAATGGATAGATGTGATTCATTCGAGAACATTGGAACATTTGGCAAGGTCGCGATACTCGGATGCTCAACGATCATCATTCTATTGTTTCACCCTCTATTCATACTTGACAGGGGTAATTCTGGTACAGATCATAGTTGGTTCATCGCTCTGATTGTGCTTTTCAGAATCCGAGAATAACAATCATATATTGAATAGGTTCATTAGCCACCGATCGAGTTTCGCCTACACTCTCCCTCAAAGACCGTGAGATCGAACCCTATAATGAACCCTTGCATCGAGAGACTGCGAGATGTTACATTGTCCAATTCGTGTTCGAAGCGACCATATATACATTTGCATCAATAGCCAGCATGAACGGAGCAGATCAAGTCTCTTACATCAGTGTGCTCAAACTGGGGTCATTGCGGTCAATATGGAAGAATATCTGGTACGTTCTTCTCTTGCAGCACACAGCGTCGAATGGTTAATAAAATCCTGGAAGTTGGCATCCGCTCCAGCATCCATTGGGCTCTGTGCCCCTAGATGGATTTTTGTTTCAAATACAGAAGAGTGATTGGTCATTCATCCTTGCGAGAGAGTCACCTCAGATATGAATAGTCTGCTTTACCCTGCGATTAGAGGTTCCCTCATGACTCGCCAATGGCAATTTGGAAAATGACTTTACGCTGTGTCTATCAGTGACTTTTCCAGTTGAAGCACGCACGAAGGCAGCTGATTACCTGGAACAATGAGATTCCCCTCTGCCTACCATGCTTACAAGTTAAGAACTGCCCTCATTTCCCGTCCTTGATAATGCGGACTGGTGCTCTGGGATTAGGGGCCATAAATAGGGGAGGTTACTCTAACCCTGAGAGACTGGGTGGTGTCCTCTAGAATGGTCGTTCTTTGTTTCACATTGGAAGCTGGCTGTACAGTCTGCTTCTAAACTAACCAATCGAGTAGTAGTCAACCCAGTGAGAATACCTAGTATTCCCGACAGGGTGAGTCGCGTCCCAGTCAAAATATGTCACGCTGTGTTCGTTACTGAAGCAGTTGGTATCATGTGTTCCGCCTTTCCTCATATTGAGCTGCCTAATAGCAAGTTTTGTTTTGCTCACTTGCAACTTCCCAGACTGCTGTAAGAACAGTACTGGTACTGGAGGTTTCACCAATTTCTGCGCTGTTTCTTCCCCTTGCTTTTACCTTCTCGCAAGTCTTCTTTTGTAGGTCTCGGTGAATAAACCTGTCCTGTCAAAGCCATGAAGTCTTCGCCCCTTGCTTGATCAAGACTGTTGAGCATCCGCCCCAATGGTGTCTCGCGGCCGCTATCGCCGATTATCGTTGCTCTCGGCAATTCTAATCCTATCTCTTGGCTTCTTGGCCTTTTCTAGCCATCATCGCCGTGTGCCAGCCGTGACCTCGTTCAAAGAGCGATACCCTTTGCTCTGGAAACACGTGCATACCTTTAAAGGACGTGGTGGAGGTAAAGCGATGCATTACACATCCCGCACGTTCGTCCTCGTTCCACCATTGGATGATTTCGTCGCATTATGTTTGTTTGTTAACAGCCTCTGAGTTGATATGCTATAGTGTGGTATATACCGACAAATTGGGTGCAGCCAAACCCCCAACCTCGAATTATTATCGAAGCCGCACAGTTGACAATCCAAGCGACTGCCCTTGGCAGAGCATGCCCCATTCACTAATTCCCTTGATCGTCCATCAGACATGGGGCCACCGACAAATCAATACTTTGCCAGAGGATTTGCGGCACAGTGTCGAGAAATGGCTGCAGTTCGTGGTCGAGGGTGAAATGGCATATTTCCTTTGGGAAGATGAGGGCATAGTAGAGTTTATCAACCAATTTACGCCTGAATCCCATGAGCACTATACATCGCTGCCATCAATGGTTGAGAAAACAGACTACTTTCGTATCCTAGTCGCTACATATGTTGGCAGGATCGTAAGTCCTACCATAACAATGCCATATCAATCCCCATCCGACCTTAAACTGACAAGCTGTTAGTATGGGGATCTCGATACTGTGCCACTCAAGTCACCTGCTCAGTGAATCACTTCACAAGATGTTCTGCCATGGACAGATCTCGAGACTAGATTCGTCTATAATTCTACGAAGCCCGTCAGGGCGATTTTCGGCATTGAAGCTGATTGTCTGCCCGCTGACCGCACATGCTGGCGCATGGGCTATCCGTATTCAATCTAGCTAACTCGGTGGTCATTTGCCTCGACACGAGATCATCCTCTTCTACGCCGATATCTTGAAAACTCGCTCACCAATTGCAGAAAATTGCAAATATCTACGGGGGGAGCCTAAAAACATCAGCCGCTCGTGCTGAACAACAAGCTCTTGACCCTTTGACTTTAACGGGCCCGGAGGCCATCACTTACGCTGCTCAGGGATGGCTCAATGTCTCCGCTGGGTTGAGGTAAAATACCCTGACTGGTTTATTAGACGGCGGGAAGGCCAAGCTAGTGGACGATGTGTTAATACTTCCCATTACTAGTTTTAGGTGAGTCTTTGTCAGAAGGAAAGGTAAGCAAGGGACTTACTGACAAAACATTTACAGTCCCGGTAGAGGAAAGTACGACAACATGGGCTCTAAACCCATCACAGATCCCACAGCACTAGTGCACCATCATGGCCAAGGGTCATGGAAGAAATTCAACCTCGTCACCGAGGTTGGTAAAATTTGTCGCACAGTGTTTGGTCTTTGTGAGAGTTGGTCGAAGATACAGAGCACAACGTGAGACAGACTTCCCACCTTTCTTTATTCTTCCTCCCTTCGGCTTGTCAGGAAGTTCTGACCCATGCGCTCAAGTTGGCTCAACTTGATCGGTTCAGGAACCTGTGTAATCTGTTACACTGTCATATAACTCACGTAGCTTTAAGGGCTGCACAAGGCCCAGAAAGTGCACTTTACGTCCATGGGATACTTACTAAATTAATACTTATACTAGGACTATCTGATCATAGCCTGGAAGCAAGATTCCGGGATCTTTCCACCCCCAACTTAGTGAGGAGCGTATGCACACAGGGCTTTTCGATGCGTCTAGGCCCCTGAGGTTGTAAACTATTCGAGAGTGCTGAGCCAAATCGACTCTCCTTTCTCTAGATAGAATTATATTACCTGGTCCTGCCCGTGATCAGCTTGCACGATATTCCTTATTTGATTATCTCAAACTAAGTTACTTCTGATCATGTACATGGCTCTATTGCCAGCATGCATCTTGAAAACTGAACATGAGTAAGAGGGTAAAAGAAAGTAACTTTTCGAGATCAGGAACACTAGGTTGGTACTATAAGGATCGTCTTGAACAAGCCACATGGCCATGTAATTATGATTGGCTGATTTTTTACATCGATCGTTGCCTTTGATGTTTTGCCCCCACTTTTGGACGCCTGAACGTACCAGCATTGTAGACACCGTCCATATCACCAAACGAAGCTTACACAGCTAAATCTCCAAGAAGAGCTACTCTTCTGCCCTCAGCTACCAGAACATCCTCAACTTGAACCTGAAATTATATCACCTGAGGTAGAAGACCAAATCCAGCCCCCTTCCCAGTCTCAAGCCATTACTAATGCGGCCTCTAATCAACTACTAGTAGCCCAATCAAGCCTCTGGATTACGTTACATAGAGGTGGCCGCCTTAGGGCCACGCAAAAATGTTAGACTGGCTGAAGGCCCTATTTACGAAAAAGGAAGAGTCGACCGCGCCCTCGCGAAGAGCCAAGAGGGCAACGAAACGCGCGAGAAAGGCGCGGGCGAAACGACGGGCTGAGCTGGAAGAGGAACTCAGACGTAGGAGGATGGGAGATGGAAAAGTTCCCTTCTTTATGGGTTCTGTGATACCCGTCTTATGGGGCACGCCGGGCCAGAGTGTTGAGAAGCAGCATGATCGGAATACTGTTGTGAGGTAGAGTTGAATCAACTAAATTTCTGGACTCGGGACTTGATTAGGGTGGCCAGGATAGCATATATCACAATATCCTGAGAACTTGGATAATAACGATTAAATACAGAGGGAACTGTAGTGCTGCTTGGTGGAGGACCAAGATCTGATTGACAAGAAGCATGGGATTCTGAAGATAGGGTCGAAATTACTGAGAGCCATAGGATGGAGGCCCCAGGGAGGGTTATTTTGCAAGCTGTTGATTATTTGCACTATTAACAATACATTGTCCTCTAATACAGGCACTATGTATAGTCTGGGCCATGACTCTGTTAGTCGCAGTCTTATCATAATGACAACTGTCATCTTTCGGCTCTTTATTAGTGACTGTATATACTACTATTGTGCGGGGACCGGCCGAATAAGTTTGGGATCGAGGTTTGATATAACTTACTGTAACTTTCATGGTGCCGTTAGCCTATGGGGCTACAGTGTCGGAAGCTACTCTTTGTTAGCTGTCCTCCCTACGGTCGTAGATAAATCAAAGCCAACACGGGCTTGGTTCTTGTAGACCTTTTGGAGATGAAAGGGTCTCTTCCGAGATCAACTTGAAAATACAAGCCCAAAGCTCCCTAGCTTAAGTGTATATGACTGATAAAGAACGTGATATATTGAGAAACAGGACCCAGCTTACTACGACCAAACCCACAATCACACTGTAGGCAATTTTCATAGTAGTAGAAGTACCCTATATTTTCAGGTCTTTTGCGACAAGAGAGCGCATGTAGCCCCCTATCAGCTCTTGGCGTACATAGTTCACAGGTGGTTCAGCACTCATGAGCGTTCCGAAGGCAGACACACAGAGCCTTCCAAGACCTGAAGGACGGGTGGGTCTGCTTGCTCCTAGTAGTAGTTACTAGTATCTCTTCTAGAGTATGCATGCATGATCACGTGATTACTTTACGGTTGATTGTATCGTCATGTATGCTAACCTAAAGGCAGTCCTTCCTACAGGAAAGACGAGAGCGAGATAACGATAAGCCGTTGTTAGTAGTTATGGCTCTTCAGAACCTGAAGCTAAGTGGAACCACTAGTGGTCCATTTTTAACTCGAGCCGAAAAGGCCGATCCCGTGGGACAATCAGCCTTAGGAGTAACCCAACCAAACCTCCGGCTGTTTACTCCGTCCCTCATACAACTCGCTTCTGTCGACGTTGGCTTCATCTCCCAATGTCAAATGAATCACCTACCGGAGGTCCTGCTTTAGGGGACCTTGAAAAAGAACTGGTCTGCTCGGTATGTGCTTTCTAGCCATTTCTTCTTTCCTCACTTTCTGTGGCTCGATTTTCGATTAGGCTGAAGACGTGGGGAGCCCCAGTCATCGCTCGCCTGCTGTCATCAACTCCTCTTTGTGTAGATCGGATATTTTGGAATAATAAATAATATAAATAACCGAAGATATAGTCGCTGTGTACTGTTGCTGACCGCCCATTCTACTTAGATCTGCACAGAACTGCTCTACCAACCCCTCACCCTCCTTGACTGTCTCCATACTTTCTGCGGCTCTTGCCTGAAAGAATGGTTCTCTGTCCAAGCTTCACGCCACCGGCCATGCTCTTCCCCTCGATTCACTTGCCCATCATGCCGTGCCGTCGTTCGCGAAACAAGACCGAATGCCACAGTGACTACGTTGTTGGACATGGTACTCACTGCGAACCCCGATCGTGCTCGGCCTCAGGCGGAGAAGGAGGAGATCGCGCAAAGATATAAACCTGGCCAATCTGTCTTCCCTACTGCTGCTTCGCCGGAGAACAGCACTGCCGAGTCGGACGATGATGATCGAAGGTTAATAGAAGAGGTCCGTGAACTGAGTCTGCGTGAGAGTGGGCCGCGAACAAGGGAGCATCGATCGGGACGATCATCGAGAACTCGTCGAGGTGAAAGTGCTGATGGCGATAGGCGAAGGGAAGATGGTCGATCTCGACAGCAACGAGAAGAGGAGCGCGCTACGCGACATCACTCTCGGACCGCATTGTCCGATCCTACAGAACGCACGAGACAGATAGAACACCAGTCAAGTCTTCGATCGTTGCTGAGCTTGTCGGATACCGAAACCATGCAAGAAGAGATCCTGCGTCAAATTCTGGAAGAAGGGTTGTTGGATGATATCGATATGGACAATCTGGGTCCCGCGCAGGAAGAAGAGCTTAGTGAACGCATTGCCGATGCTTATAGACGGAGGCATAGACTGCGTTCGCGATCACAACAGAGGAATGGTACGCAGGAAGAGGGGCATGCCTCAAATCGCCCTCGCGCACGATCGCAATCAGTGCAGAGATCCCATCCTGCTTCTGGTTCTCGAGGTTCACCAGCGCATCCTCCGGTGTCAAGGCCGTATTTACTCGAACCTCTTGTACAACGCCCCGGTAGCTCTGGCCATCAGCGACGTTTATCTGATCAAGGTGGCCGTCGAAGAGTATCGCCTATTCCTGTTAGCTCTGCTTCATCCTCGGAGGTCAACCTGAGGCCTGCAGCAAGATCGTCTAGCGACATGATTGCTGACCGCCCTCGGGGCTCCCAGGTTGCCCGGGTCAGAGCGGCTGATTCAGCTCCACGCACACGTCGAGCGACGGCCTCCGAGCAATCTATTCCTAATATATGGGTGGCAGGTAGTAATGATCGAGAGCTACGGCGACAAAGACCAGCCAGACAGTCTATCGACTCTCCCTCATCAGTTTCTTCAGTGGTTCGCAGCCCTCGAACTGCTTCTTTCGCGGCACGCTCCGAACAGAACCTTGCAAACTCGCCTACAGCTACTTCTCTCACGCCCGAGATCAATAGTCCTGCCAGGCCAGAAGGACGCTCGAGGCCCTCATCCTCCAGATCTAACGCTTCTCAAGCGACAACCTATTATATTGAACCGTCTATCTCGTGCGATCGATGTCAAAGGACAAATATCCAGTATGAACTTCACAAAAAGTGCCGGTTATGCAAGGATGGTGACTACCATGTATGCCTACGGTGCTACCGGCTTGGGCTTGGCTGTCTAGACTGGCCTGGTTTTGGTGTATCAGCAAAGGCAGATCTCGACAGAATCCATGCTTCTTCTAATGGTCTTGCCACACCTTCACAAGAATCGCAGCATATCCTCTTGTCTCTAAAGTATAACCGGCCGTCCGACGCAGCCCGTCGAGCCACACGAGATGGAAGAGAGGCTACCAATGAGCACCCTGCCCGGCGATTACAAACCGGGCTCTTCTGCGACATATGTCAGTCATCAGCAGATACGTGCTTCTGGAAATGCAACCAGTGCAACGAGGGCGACTGGGGTTTCTGTAACAAATGTGTCAATGAAGGAAAGTGCTGTACGCATGCCCTTCTACCAATATGCCGTGTTACGCCAGATAGCCCCTTGACTCCCGCGACACCAGCCGTTCCAGGTGATATAGCGAACGGTTCGGCTGCTCCTCTTGCTGGAGCGGAAACACTGAAAGTACTTTCTTTCTCCACAAATTGTGACATTTGCGCCAACCAAATTCCGCCTTCGACTCTTCGTTTCCACTGCCTGCAATGCAACGAAGGTGATTATGATATTTGTGCAAACTGCTACCTTAAGCTGGTGGCCACGGCAAAGATCCGTAAAGATAATGGACACAACGGCTGGCGGCGCTGCTTGAAAGGCCATCGGATGGTGGTGGTTGGATTTGAAGATCATGAAGAGGGCCAGAAGCGGGTCATCGTTCGTGACTTGGTGGGCGGTCGTGCTTTGAAAGACGAACACCTTCAACCTTCCTCCCCTCCGGCTTCTCCCTCTTTAACACGCGGCTCTGTGGCAAGCTCTGGCGTTGTTCCATCCCCTGAGCTCGGTACTGGCGACTGGAGTTGGAAAGAGGGAGCGGAACGGCGCAAAAAAGCATCCCGCATCCGTCCCCCATGGTCTAGTACCATCGGTGACCGTACTAACTCATACTCTGAACCTTCCACGCCCACTACCCCCACACAGAATGCATCATCTTCACGTCGCTTCCCTCCTGATGGCGGCGTTGGCCTCGTTGTTCACGCGCTATGGCCATGGTATCCTGAGGATGGTGTCAAAGACGAGCTGATGTTTCCACGTGGCGCGGAGATTACTGAGGCCGAGAATATCAATGATGATTGGTATTGGGGGTGTTATGCAGGATCAACTGGGTTGTTTCCAGGGACACATGTCTTTATTGTTGGGGAGATCGCCTAGTCCCTTTAACAAACATCTAACTACCTTGATGAAAGCAATGACGACTTACGATTGATGTATACATAGATGATGACGTCGGGATGATCTGATGGATGGCATGTACGTACTGCATCACTATACGGAATATTAGTGGTGGACTTGTACTAGGTTGCTGCCTGTGTCATGGTATTAACAAATCACAAGTTGTCCAGGAATTAAAGTAGTGGTAGATGCATGTAGGCAGATGCAGATGCACCTCCAGTCGACCTTCTGGAAACTCTAGAAATATCTAATATGCCTTGTCTCCGCCTCAGCCCCACTAGCCCAGCCTTACTGCGCCACACTTGTGCCTGCCTTTTGAAGTATGGATGACGAACGGGTGGAAGCGCCCGCTTGGCGTCATTGTCGTATATAATCTTCCGTAGTCTCTCACCGTCTGGAATACAGACAACCCCACTGCAATTATTGAAGCCTTGAACTCTTAATCATGTCGTATAATCCGCCATATCCTCCACCAAATCGTACGTATCTATATCGCACTAATATGATCTCTTCGAGATGTTCTTGATTGGCTAACCCTCGTCCTTTTCATCTAAACAGAACCTCCGTATCACGGTGCCCCTCAGGGTTTTCCGCAACCTCCGTACCCCCAGCAGCCCGGTTACGGTGGCCCCCCTCCTCCAGGTCAATATAATCGGCCGCCTCCTGCACATCCGGGTCAGTATGATCGACCTCCGGTAGCACCTCCGGGCCAGCCAGGATATCCTCCGCACGGACACCCCCCACCAGGCCCCGGATACCACACGTCGCCCCCATCTCACTCCCCATATGGAGCGCCCCCACAACAGTTCCCTCCCCATGGCGGTGCAGGATATCCGCCCCCGGGGCCATATGGTGGTGGTCCAGTAGGTGGCTACCCATCGCAACATCCACAACAACCCTTCCACAGCCCTCCACCGGCCCAGCCATCCCCGGGCTACATCCCCGGCCAAATTGCCCCAGGTGATTTTAACCGCGAAGCCGATGGGCTCCGTAAGGCAATGAAAGGCTTTGGAACAGATGAAAAATCACTCATTCAGATACTGTCGAAAGTCGACGCGCCTCAGATGGCCGCCATCCGCCAGACCTATGCCAACTATATTCGTCGCGATTTGTACAAAGATGTCAAGTCCGAAACGGGTGGCTACTTCCGCGACGGCTTGCTTGCTGTCATTGATGGTCCGCTGATGCACGACGTGACTTCCGCGCGTGAAGCGGTCAAGGGAATAGGCACGAAGGAATGGTTGCTGAACGACGTCCTAGTGAGTCGGTCGAATGCGGATCTGAAAGCTATCAAAGCCGCATATGAACGCACATACAGCCGTTCTCTCGAAAAAGACGTCCAAAGTGATCTGTCATTTGAAACACAAAATCTCTTCGGAATGATCCTTCGCGCAGACCGCCATGAGGAATCGTTCCCAATTGACCCACGTACCATTGAGGAAGAAACAAAATCTCTGCACTCCGCCACTGCTGCTCGTATGCGGAATAATGTTCAGGAAGTTTGCGGTATCTTCGCCCGGTCGTCGGACAACGAACTCCGCGCGATTAACCAGGCATTCAGCGCCCGTTACAATACCTCGCTAGAGAAGCACATCGACAAGGAATTCTCGGGTCATATGAAAGACGCTCTGCTTCAGATGCTGCGTGGCGCATTGGATCCAGCCATGCGGGATGCCGAGTTATTGGAAGAATGCATGAAAGGCATGGGCACTAAGGACGTCAAATTGGTGAGCCGCGTTGTTAGGCTACACTGGAATAGAGCGCATAAGGACCAGGTGAAGCGCGCTTACCGCCATCGTTATGGAAAGGATCTGATTGAGCGAGTTCGCGGCGAGACAAGCAGTGATTACCAAAGATTGATGGTTGCTCTACTGGAGTAGACCCTTTCGCTTTATGATTGTATGATTTCACGGTATGTTGGGTACGGCAGAGGTCATGACATGGGCTGGGCGGCTTTCTGTTTCTTTCATATGCGTCAACCTTTTATTTTATTTTATTTTATTTTTTTTTTTTTTTTCTTATTAGTGTAACTCTCAAGTGATACCACCAGATGCATGTTTTCAATATCTTGGGCGGCTTGCTCGGTTATCACTATACTAGAATTAGTTTACTGAGGTATAATCTTCTGATGCGTTTTCGATAAATATGTATATGTTGCCCTTCTAAGAATTTCGCTTCAATCTTTAGACATCTTAGAGTGATCAAGTTACCAAATAGCCCGAAGATCACTAGGTGGTATTTTGTCTTTTAGCTAATCTACCTTGTTCGCCCGATACCTACGCTCGAACAGAGCTTCTAATTGGCCTTCTCTACTTTTCCTTACGTTAAAGCCCCATTTGAATGCATGTCCCTAAGCCCGAATGGACAGGGGGGCGATCAACATCCTCGGAATGTCCAACAGCAGCTGTGATTACTGATCGGAAAATGAACCTTTGACCCAATTTTGCAATAAAGATTAATCAACAGAACTATAAAATTGTTGCCTACATATCCCCTCTTGATACTTTAATTTTCTTACGTCAAGGAATCAGAATATAAAAAAGGCGGTATTGTAACTTTAATGAATAGCCAAACAACATCCGGGGAACTTGACCATATTCTAACTTTATGTATATATAGTTCAAATCAAATAGCCTGTTAAGGAATCCTAGCCAGTCTATTCTGAGAAGAATCAAATACTACCGTTACATATCATAATACACGGGCATCATGTGCTGTCATGGCTTAACGATGCATAACACCAGGAGCTGTCCAAGTGGAGTGTATACCACAGACGCTCGAGAAGCCTAGCGGGTGTGGAAAGCTACTCGCAATTGGATAGTATAATCGGAGTTGAAATAAGATTACGCGCTCATTCTTTACTGAAAACTAGCTTGACATTCCAGCTCCAGTTTTAGTTAGCGTCCGATATTTCCGAGTGGATCCATAGGGATGAGTCACTAGCAGATATTGTACAGGTTGCTTTTGCCATATGTACACCTTTCTTTCTCTTAAATATTGACACCTGCTATATACCTGTATATTCACGTACCATCTACCCCCATCGTCTTCCAAGTGCCGTTTAAAATGACTCAAGATAAACCAGCCGTCGTCTGCGTCTTGTGAGTCGATCATTTTTGCCACCCTCCTGCACCGCGATGATCGGTGAATTGCTTCAATAAGGGACAACAAAACGGCCTATAATGAGTACGGCTAACTAGTAACCAATATCCAGCTGCGGCGCAACAGCAGGAAAAGACCCAGTACACCTGGAAGCAGCCCGGGCTCTAGCCTACGAATTCCACAAAAACAATGTCCAGCTCGTATACGGCGGCGGCACCGCAGGACTAATGGGCGAGATCGCAAAGACACTAGTCTCCCTATCTGGTCCAAAAGCTGTGCACGGTGTAATCCCCCGTGCACTTGTCAAAGTATCTGCGAAGAACGGCAGCGAGAAGACCTCTGCAGCGGCGGGAGGCAAAACAGCTGAGCGAGTCGTCTCCGAATCCTTGGACGGAGATGAAATCCCCGAGTCAGAATACGGGGTTACGACTATCGTCCCGGATATGCATACGCGCAAGCGGCTGATGGCGACCAAGGTTATGGAGGGTGGACCTGGATCTGGGTTTGTCACGCTGGCTGGTGGGTTTGGGACGATTGAGGAGGTTATGGAGATGACGACGTGGAATCAGTTGGGTATTCATCGTGTTGGAGTCGTGTTGTTGAATATCAATGGCTACTGGGATGGATTGCTCGCGTGGGTGCGCAATGCGGTCAAGGAGGGGTTTATCAGCGCTGAGAATGGGTCGATTTTGGCTGAGGCGGTTGATGTAAAGGAGGTGTGGCCTAAGCTGTTGGAGTATCGGTGTAGCTCTGGTCGGTTTCAGTTGAACTGGGGTGAGGAGTGAACATACCTTGTAGATTAAGGTAGATGGAAAATTACTAGAACTATGGATTTGTATATAGCGGGCTCTGCCGATATGCCCCCAGATTGGTCCGTCGAGCGCCTCTCCATAGCGGCACCGTCTTCTGGCCCTTGTAAAGCTTGAGACGCGTTCTTGGGAGACAGTCGCCATTATCGACCACGTGAAAACGTAACACTACCGCTTTAGTGGCCTTAAAGCAGAAAGCAGCTAATTCATTCTTGTTGGTGATACTGGTGGATCTTTTGAGTGAAAGTAGGCCGTAGCTAATTTCCCAAAGAGGCAATACCCGCGAGGCTATATTAAGCTTAAACACCGGAGATAAGGTATCCCCGCAACATGGACAGTAGGATTTAATATACATTCGACCCTTTGCTAGGCGAACAATATCTCTCCAAAACCCGGTGTTTCCGATTCAGATGTTCAGCTTTAAGGAATACCCCAGGGCATCTCCAGTGCGTCAGGTATTCCTAGAGCTTAAGATGGATATATAAACCCCAGACGACACCCTCCAGGACCTTGCAATTCAGCTAGTATCCACGATTTTCCTACTTGAATAAGCCTCATAACTTCGTACTTCCACAATGGCATCTAAGATTGTCCTAGTAACCGGAGCCAACAACGGCATCGGCTATGAAACAGTCAAAGCTCTACTCCAATCCACAAAAGCAACCTACCACATCTTCCTGGGTAGTCGGTCCATCGAAAAGGGCAACAAGGCGCTGGAGGCCCTCAAGGCCGAAGTGCCCGATACGAAAAGCAGCGTTGAACTCCTCCAACTTGACCTAACTGACGATGTATCCATTGAGTCAGCCTATGACACAGTGCGCAATAAACGTGACCACATTGATACCCTCGTGAACAATGCCGGTAAGTGACTTCTTTCGCCATTAATATCAACAAAGACGCCCATAACGAAAGCCTGGTATTAATTAACCCAGGCGCCAGCTTCGACGGCGAGCTGCAAGCTGGCCGGGTCTCGCTTCGCGAGTGCTTCACCAAAGCATACGATGTCAATGTAGCCGGTACACATGTCTTGACCTACACCTTCATGCCCTTACTTCTGAAGTCAGCCGACCCGCGATTAGTCTTCGTGGCGGGTCTGTCTCATATCACCCAGGCTGCTGAATCATACTTCCCGACACCGCCGCTGCCCGCGGGTTGGCCGAAGAAAGTTGATTTCGAGACCATTGGGTATCGGTGTAGCAAGACGGCTTTGAATATGCTGATGTTGGATTGGAATCATAAACTCAAGGCGGATGGGGTGAAGGTCTGGGGTGCTGAGCCGGGATTTCTGGCGACGGGCTTGGGAGGTGTGACTGAGAAGGTTAAAGAGATGGGGGGCGGACATCCTAGTATTGGGGGTGTTTTTATTAAGGATGTTGTGGAAGGAGTTAGGGATAGTGATGTTGGGAAGTTGGTGCAGAAGAATGGGCTTTCGGCTTGGTGAGTGGTTGAGTGTGGAATGGTTGTTTGAGATTGCCAAAGTAGTTGTATGTCTTGGTCTTCTTTTCTTTTTCTTGATTATTTATATGCCAAGCTTGAAGTTCGCAAAGAGTAGAGCTCCAAAAGGCGAGGTGTTTTCATCATAAGATGTGGACATAGCATCTATATCCTGTTACTACTCTCCTCACCTAATTATTCACTTGCCTATAGAATATCCTGTCGGTTAAAATAGCAAAGATATTATGGCAGTAGAGACTACGAAGTTCACTGACCAAGATCGAGATTAGCTCCAAGTTTGGTTCATCTCACACAGCTAAGAGTAGAAAGCTCATTATACAGGGATATCGTCATGACCATTTGGGGAAAGAATTTGGAAAGCATAAGCGTCATTGCGTATGCGTCAATGACTCTGTAACGCTAAAAACCAGTTTTATTAACCAGCACCTGCTGAACCAATCTATAATATGCTCTTCATTATTTGCTCTTTCGAGCTTCAGCTGCACCTTCAGCCTTAGTAAAGGCGGTGTGCAGTTCCTTGGTAGCCTCCCACAACACCCACAGAGGAACCCACACCCACAGGGTATTGAAAAAGAACAGGTAGAACCACAGGTATACAGGGTTACTTGTCTCCAACTGCGAGCTACCCGTAAGCCATTCAGGCGCAAAGGTCATGAACCCGCCGTATAGCTCAGCGGTCGCCAGAGCGGGCGCCACCAGCCACAGCTTCGCCTTCGCAGAACCTTTTGCCGTGGCACTCGTCCGGCTGCTAGAAGCCTTCCACAGAAGATAACAGACATACAGCGCTGCAGGGCCTCCAAGAAAAACGGTCAACAATTCGAGGGAAATCACGTTGGCATCGGCGGCCGCCCAGCGGAAATCGGCCTTCGCGTATTCTTGCCACAGTCGCGAGCTGGGACGAGTTCCGTATGCGGCTCCATATACACGGTCCTTCTGATCGAGGAAGTAGGGCGGACGGTTGAAGCCGGCGGGGAGAGATGTGTAGCTGAAGAAGCACTCGTAGAGGAATGAGCCTTCGATGAAGATGTGGGTGAGGGCGTCATAGGCGTGCCAGAAGAAGAGGATCCGGTTTCGCATGTGAGTGGAAGGGATTAACGACCGGCCAAGGATGTAGGCGGCTGGCATGAAGGAAAGGGCAAATGCGATGCAAAGACATGTCGCGACATCCAGGGTGAAAGGTGCCACGGTCGACATGTTGGATGTCTGTTGTTCGATCTGGGCTTTTCTTTTTTACGCTCTACCACCAATATGAGCCCCAGGTAGGAAGACTTTGATTGTATGAGAAGAAAATACCAGGAGTAAAGTCAGGTTTCTGTCATGGAGATGTCAGCGGGTTAACGCTGGAGATGTTGTGATCCCTATCGCGTGGTCTGGATGAACTGGATGCTGGGCCCCCTGAAACTGGAAGAATGATCGACACGGTGGCGTTTGCCTGAGGCAGCCGCGGAGTCCGAGGAGTTGCGGACCCACCTTCCGCGATCTTGTTTATACTACCTTTTAGTCTCTAGCTTTCTTAAGTAGTATAGCGCTATGGCTTCATTTATGAGAGGGCCATATCCGTTGCCTAATGAAACACTTCGGGTTCCTTTATATTATTCCATTTATCAGGTCACACACCCACCCAGAGAGCCGAGCGCTCAATAGTGCGACCACCAATGGATCATCTCGACGGCAAACAATGAATGACACCCCCGCATAAACTTCCTCCACAGCCGCAAGGCTTTGGGCACAAGGAGGATCTCAGTCTGATTGGACCAAACACGAGGGAATGGCTTGGATCTCTCTCCATGTGAGCCAGCCTCTCCAGATTCTTGTTCACTCTCGAGTTGCGGATCTATAATACTTCACTCAACTTGGCCTGCCGCATCTGGAAGATATGAAGTGAAAAAGGAAGTCTAGACCGACTCCCCAATACTCTCAGTCACGCATCCAGTAACTACAAGAGCTGTTGTCTTTGTTCGTTCTGACAGAAAGACTTCAAAGAAAACTCCCCCTGTGGGGTCGACTCGCCTCTAACACCCAGTCATTGGCTCCGGTTCTCTCTATGAGAAACCTAAATCTTTTGGCTCCGATGAGCCACAAGGAGTAACGGTGCACCTTGAGGAGTTCTTCTTCTCCAGTTCTACTATTTCATGCCTTGCTGCGCCTCTGCGAAACCGACCTTGGTACCCTTTCGCTGTGTCCTCCTGGGCGTTCGCGCCTGATAATACTCAGCAGTATCCTGCGTCTCCCACCAGAAGTCAGGTCAGATAAGTTCTGATCTGGTCCATCTTCCCCATTGAGCGGGCCAGTCTTCGTAGTTTTTATTTGAAGGGCACCCATTGTACTAAGTTTTACGCTTATCTACCCTACAAGCCTTTTTTTATTATTGTCCCATCTTTCCACATCATTCAAATTCCGTCCTTCCGAGCCAGGGATGGATTTCTGGGAAATTTCTCTGTCTATTAAACTGTACACATGCTGATTTATTGCTATCTACAACCCACACTATTGTCGCTTCCGTGCATTGGACCTCGCTAAACAAACAGACCGCCACCATGGCCGCTCTCCCTGATTCGAACGCGGCCGATATTCTCGCACTCACAAAGCTGTCGTGGGATCTTTACCATAACTGCTATCTTATTACTAACGACGCCCCCGAAGTCTTTAAGCAGCTCGTGAATGAGCTAGCCTCTCTGCAAGGTGTTCTTCGAGCTCTCCGAGATGACGTAAACTCCAATACGTCCTTCTTCGACGACCTAGAGGAGGGTCGCAGAAATACTTTACAGCGATGTTTAGACGCCTGCCTCAAGACCTTACAGCAGTTGAAGGATTTAATCACCAAGTACAGGAATTTGGGAGTAGGTGATGGTAAACAATTTTGGCAGAGAGTCAAATTGATCGCACAGCGAGGACAGATAGATGATTTAAAATCTAGGATCATGGTCCATACCTGCAACCTTAGCTTATGTATGAGCTCGGTTGGCAAGTAAGTATAACAGATAGTTGTTGTTTTTCGTGTGTGTCTGCTTACGGGTATAGTTCAACTTTGACAAGAATTGAGAGATCAATGGTGGATGCTTTAGAACAGAAAAGCTTCCCTTGCACCCCGGAAACGCTTTCGCGTGGGCAGCGTGTCCTGAGAACCCCACCAATACCGGGAGATGATGAGCTTCAGCTTGAGGAGTCATTGCGTATTGAGCCACTGCGTATTAGTCCGAAAAATGTTCCCATGAGGGCAAATAGCCTGCCAACTGCTGAGATCCATGCTCGTTTCTCTACTTCGGAATCGATTCTTTCTGGCGGGTCTGAGTGGTCAGCAACCACAGCAAATACTACCTCTCCGTCAATCAATGACCCACTGAAGCGTTCCATGTCCCACAATTATGTCGTTAGACGCACTGGTTCATGTGCATCAGAGTCGAGGCATCTAAGAATGCCTAGCTCTGAGAGTGAGCAGCTCAACATCCACCCAGCATTGCGAGAAGAGCCCTCTTCGGATGATCGCACTGAGTCCCCAGGATCTGAGCTGGATAATACAGCCGTCACAAGTGCTGTCGCAACTGCTATGCATCAGCTTCAGCAAGTACAAATCCGTGAAAGTATCCTTCGACCGTTGCGATATGAACCGCGCGATAAACTCCACCAACCTGATCCCCAGCTTATGAGAATCTTTGATGCCTTGGTGCAGGATGAGTTGAGGATCAAACGCCTCAACACAAGTGATTGGCTACGAGTCGCAGTATGGTGGCTATTGAAGGTGTGTTGAATCCCTCTCTTATCCTACAAAACAAACGGACGACATTTAGTAAAGTTTAAAGGCTCGATCAACTCTTGCCAGTTCGGATAGGCCGAGCCTCGTCGGCCCTCGAGGCAGTGTGACTCCACCAACAGGGTCCTGGGCCCCAGGCGATCAAGCCTATGTTGATCTTCTCAAGGCATCATATATCTTATATGACATTGTTTTGACTGACCCAAGCTCTCACGCCATTCTGACCCATGAAAACCGAAAGTTGATCTCCGATTTATCGGAGGTAAGTCATGTTGGGGTTCGTTTGAATATCGTAATCTGATCGTTCAGTAGGGGATCAAAGACGAGTTTGCGCATTTTATCTCATTGGATGTCCCCGAATGTTCTATCATGCAGTCCCAAAACCTCGATATTTGGGAACCTTTGCAGCCGGAAGAAGCAGCCGAGAAGGGCAGTGACTCAATCATCGGTTTGAACAATGTGCGTTGGGCTACTGTTGACCTAGAAGACGCGGGAGATGAAGAAGAAAGGGTTTTCTACCGAGCGTTCGTGAACGCTGGCATTGGTAGCAAAAAGCTCCGTATGCGAACAAAAGGCGCTCCGTACATGCTCCTTTTGTCTGCAAGAGAGGGGGAAAGCGAGCCGAAGATCACGATCTGCAATCAGAGTGGTACGCTTTGTTTGCAGCGAGACTGTAAGTGAATTGACGCAGCAATACTGCAAGCTCTATCGAACCAACCCATACTGATAACTCACTGGCCAGTTCTACCCGAAGATCTGGGCCAAATGATACGAGTTTGGCAAGCAACTGTCTCTGGTTACCCTGGCATGAGAATTTCGGAACCTATCGTGCTACGATTCGATACCAAAAGTGTATCTGTCTCTTTCCAACACACGTGTGACTTGCAGTATTTCATAAATCTGCCAAAGGCATACTTTGACGCCGTATGGCAACGAGAGCCAGTGGACTCCGATCAGTTCTCTGAGACTGTGCTATTTAGGAGCTCGGTCGAAAAGTTTGAACAGCTGAAGGCGCCCACTATGAGAGCTATGAATCCCCAGGTAATTCGCAAATCGTGTGAAGTGCGCATTCTAGAGAGGTCTTATGGAGAGGCATGGCAGTCTGTCCGGCGCATGGTCATTAGCTCCTGGGTAGCCGAGCAGGCACCGAGATGCATTGAGTTATTTATGCCCATGAGTCGTGTCCAGGTCTCCCGCGGTGAAGAGTCTGGACAGGTTTTGGTGAAATGGTCAGACACGTGCCAAGAAAGGTCAACCAAAACGGACGGCAATTACCATCCTTTGTATTCCTATGTGTACGATGACAATAGCCCCAATATCGGGCTCGGATTACATTTCCGGTCCCAGAAGCAAGTGGAAGATTTTGAAAAGGCCATTCTAAGCATGTGTTCTCAGTCAAGCTTTTCTTGGGATCAGCCTAGCAGCTCTGGCTACGTCTATGATGTTGTAGATCCGACAGCGGACCAAAAGCAGTATAAGGCCATTCTGCTCATCCAGTCTCGTTTGACCTGGAAATACTGCAGCCTCTACTACGTCTACCGAGACACAGACTATGACTATGACCACACAACCCTACGTGTCCGGTTTCCGCGCCTATTCTACACCGATTATATCTCGTCGCATGTTGACAAGTTGTACCCAGCTGACCGTCCAGTATCATTCTCCCATTGCGAGAAGAAGGTCGGAAATATGATAGCAGAATTCGACGAGGAACCGCTACTGCGTAGCTTTATGAGCTCGCTAGCCAACGGGTACGAACTTCTGTACTCACGACGCGCTGCTTCCCTAGTGACCAAAGGTAAAAGTCTTTTCGGAACCAGAAAGTCAAGCAAAGGTGAAACGCAAGTACAGCTATGGCGAAAAGGGGCGTCTATTCAGATGTCGTCACGGTGGGATGAACATATCACCGACAAATGGCTGACCGTCTCCGTTATGCCGGGTACACTACAGCAGACCAAAGATAGCACGCGAGTCGACTTTTCAACGCTTCAATATTCCAGGGGATCATTCCTTAATATGGCAGGTATCCTCGCCGTGGCTCCGAAAGACCCTAATATGGCCCGACGGGGTGGTCAAATCGCGATAAACTTTGCTACTGCTAAAGGTATCGTCTACGAAAATGACTTGGTTAGTGTGTTTATGTGTAGCTAACAGTGATGCTTTTAGACCGACATGATTTTGTTTCAGCTTTGGAAGGTGACTCTGTTCCTCCTGCATACGGAGTATGACTATTTTGGGCTGGCATATGGTGTGGCGTTGGTTTGGACGTTCAAGTTTGTCTGTATATGTATGCTGGTTGTATTATATGTTGGGACGATGGTATTTTTCGCATCGTACATCAACTGACCACGATTTGCAATGAAGATGTATCACGAGCCACATAGACAGTATCTGATTGTAGCTATCTTTTTAAAGTAAATAAGACAAGAAGGAGAAAAATAATCGATACGTAGTCCAAAGGTATGCGCCATAAAAAAAAAAAAAGAATTGTCACGCCCTGGATCGAACCGGGAACCATCTCGGTATTCGCGTGAATTGCCTTTTGTGGAACGCTCTTTCTCTTGCTAAGGAACTGGGGGTATCCAAGTTCTTAGGTGCCCCAATGAAGAATTTCCGACTACAGACGTTAAGGAGATACACACGATACTTGTATGATTGTACGATCAAGGAGTTTCAGCCTCGAGACTACTGATTCCTACCAGGTCCGTCCATGTAGTGCGATCTGATTTTGTTTTTTTTTTTTTTTTTTTCTCGACCATACCAAAATCGGCGGTCAATACTAGTAGTCAGAGGATCGGCTGTTGATCGTTGGAAAAATGCCTACTATTGCTAACTGTGTATTGCGTAAGTATCTGAGAATGACGTAGTACACATACTTGATCGCAGTCATTTCCAGTACCAACTTATATTTGAGATGTAACACTGCAGCAGTTGGATGAGGGGCAATGACAGCCGCTCGTGCCAGAAGATGGTCTCTGGGAGACTTGTGATGGAGTCGAGAGACTGCACATCACCCGCTGACTGTTAACCCCACTCCACTCACCGTCTGGGGGGAATGGAACTGCCGCATAGAGTCCGGTGGGACACCAGATATAATATTGAAGCTTGAGAGAAGCGATAAGAGCAGATTGCAGAAAGCTCTCTTGAAGAATGTAAGCCCGATCGCATAAAAAAAAAGCTATTGTATGTACTACAAGCCCTAGCTTTGTTCCTGCCGAGTAAGCTGCAACATTTCCCGCCATTATTCGTCACTAGTCAACAGCTTTTATCCGCCACTGCGTCCCGCGATGACTCAATTCAGGGCGTTTTCATACGCGTTCCGTGTGATCGGTCGGACTAGTTCGAACTATGAGTCTTCAAGCCCCGGATCTTCAGTCGCCGGACGAGTCACCCGGGCGATCGTATACTACACCCTTTGACGCGTGCGCCTTGCACGTGCGGGCCTCATGACCAAACCAATAGAGGCGGAGCTGCTTTATAATCCTCACTGCCTACGCACTTTTGTAACCACTATTGAGATGTGTCCATTGCGCTATGAATAGACGTTGCGAGATTTGGGACTTTCGTTGAGGAGGGTTCTCAACACCGGACTTTCTTTTTTCGAAAGTACCCATCAGCGTTTTGGTTCTGCCTGGGCGTGGCTATTATTTCCTTTCTTCTCTTCGCTAGCCTACCTATAAATTTGACCTTCTTTCCTAGTGGAATTGGTTCTTTCTGCAAGTTTTCATTAGCGTTGCGTTGTTGGCATGCCTCATTTACTCCACCACAGAAGACGCCATTCCTGGCCCTACTGCGGACCAGGACCCCGTCGTAACGCCCCTCTTGTGCGAGTTGCAGAACAGAAGACTCAACTCGAACAACAGTTTCTCACTCCGCTTATCTCCGGTGACTATCTTGAAGATGATGCTGCGTCCGCTGGGATCGTTCCTCCCAAGACCACCCGCCCCCATTATCGTATCTGGCCCCATTCGAAGACCACAGTCGAACACTCCAACCCTACCACCGGGTACAGCTATGGCTCTGGATCATTGCGCCGCATGATCCGGCCGCCGTTGGATAAGGCTCGGTCACTTTTCGTCCTGCCCACCACGACCACTGCCGGCCAGAACGTGGTGGTTTCATACTGGGTGCCGCAGCAACACTCTGTGCAGAAGGCTGCCCCTGATAGAGGCCGGGAACTTTCTAGCCTGCCTAAACATTTGGCGGTTCATAGAAACCATCGCCGGTGTCACTCAGAGCAGCCGCGGTCTTGGAGGCGGCCGAGTGCGAGTTTGTGGACGCTTACGGAGGAGTGATTTCCATTTTTTTTTTTTTTCTTCATGATCTTTTGTGTTTGTGAGCTCCTGTTCTGTAGTTTGCTTTTGTAACCATCATTATCATGCTTGTGGTTGGTAGTCTGATTTCCGTGTTTACTGATTCTCGCGGGTTGAAAGGGGAGGGAGTCATCTGCATTGCATTAGAGGCAGCATAATGGGGAGGCGTTCGAACTGCTTTTGAGTCAGATAATGGATGAGATGAAAAGATAGAAAGGAAAAAAAATGAGACGAATCGAGAATCTCAATTATACAAATCCATAGTTCACCCTAATTAAGTACTTGAGATCAGCCGTTTATTCCAGCACATAGTAAAGCTACCGGATCTAACTTTACCCCAGACTTACCGTTAGGGTACCCATGGTGTTGCCCTACCACCGGACCTATCATAATCGACCAAGCATCCTGGCATACTCCGTACCGAAGAGGAAGGACACGCCCGAGGCCATTCGGACTAGCACGGAACGAACGTGCCGATGACTGCCTCTTGGCAAACGGGGCGCGCCAATCATGATGTCATTGGGTAAAGATAGAGCCTCCAGTGGAACGAAGAATGTTCCGATATCCGGGCGGAATGCAGTGGTCAAGGTTGCATTGGTCAAACTATTTGGAGAAGTGCGATGCGGGTCTGGATCGCTATCTCCGCGGGATGCTATGTTTGGGATCAAAATTAGAAGTCGATAATGTTAGGTGGTTTCCACAGGCCCATACCGCGGTATGTAGTCAGCCGTAATGGGAAGCCGACCATGGATTCTGGTCAGTTTTCAGCCCTAAAACCAGACCATGAAGTAATGTAATTTCCTGTCATCATCTTGTTGACGCGGTAGCCAGTGAGAATGTGCTCTGTTTGAATTTAGTCCGGGTGGGGGCCAAGACGAATGACTTGGCTTTCGTGTCTTCTCGAAGTACGCTAGAAACTAGTTCTGGGCCGGGCGTTGTCTTAGCCCGGAATGCATCAGCTGAACATGCGTCTCGTTTCTGTCAAAGTGAGGGGTTCTCTTTCCTTCTTCTGACTGATCTTCTGCCCACAGTCATGAAAGGAAGGGGAAAAGGCAGCTGTGCGACGGATGGGGACAGATTGTCTTGAACCACGACAATTCGTATTCGGGATGGGAAGGAAGCCAGTATGATCAGGCAGACTCATTTCCATTGTAGGGAGTTGGGAGTGACTATGGGAAGGGTGAGTCTTCCAGGCAGAAGCGGTGAATTCGAGCCTCTTCATGGGTTGTGCGGGTCCATCGCAGCTGGTGATTGGTTAGACCGCGTACCTCGTAGGGCAGAGAAGTGGGTCTCCCCACGACCCTCACCGACTTGAGTCAAAACAGAAACAAGAATCCCCGCTAAAGCCCTATCGATGGGGCCCGATGCCCTGTTGGCATCCTTCCATTCGTCGGCACGGTCACCTCCGACAGGGGGCCGCGTGCCAATTTGACAGTGTCCCATCACGATAGGCCAGGAGGGGAATGAGTTAGAAGATAAACTGTCGTCAACGGGGATCCTTTCGGGAGGGCCGACAGGAAACATAAATAACCCTCGCGACCCGTGCTTCTCAGCGATTTCTTCCTCTCGTCAGCAACAATTATCTCTGCTTCTTAGATATCTTAATACCAAGCTTCCCTATATCTGTTGCTTCAAGCGATGAAAGATCAGAACACTACTACCCCTCAAGTAGACATCCTGCAACAACAGCGGTCCGGCATTGAGCATTCCCTCTCCCATACAACCACTACCTCCTCATCCAACTCTTCCTCCAGTCTTCCAGAAACGCCTACTACCTCAACCCAATCTCAAACAAAAACCAGCCGACTCGCCCTGACAGCAGGAAGACTCCTCGCTTCCCGCTCTCGCTCGAGGTCCAAATCACCCGCTCCTGGTGATATCCCAACCACCACACGCTCGCGTCGCTCCGACTCCGAGAGCACCTACATTCTCAAACGCGACAAAATGGCTCGCATCAGCATTCCCCGTCGCTCTGCCAGCCCCACCCAAATGTCTCCCCCCGCCTCCCCTTCTTCCATCAGGGAGACACACCCCACAAAGCGCAGATCCGACTCCTACCACTCCCGCAAATCGAGTGACGACTACCGTCGCTACAGTGGAACCGTGAACCACTACGGTCGTCACTCGAATGACTGGTTGTTCGGAGGATTCAGTCTTCGCGACACCGTTCGCGGCGGTGTTGACCGCTTACGCCAGCGCGATGACAAGAGCTGAATGAAAAAGTGGCTCCGTCAGAAATGACGAATTGTTCTCTCAACTCCTTTTCCTCTATATCGATGTTCCAGATCCGGTATATATGGTTATATGACCATGACTGTCATTATCTGAGGATTATGGCCGTGGCTACGGGCTACTCTACCCACCTAGTTCGATCACGAATTACCTCTTCCACTTCTGAGTGAGATTAGATCAGGTTAGATCATTGGTATCGATCGGAGGAAAACTTCCTACCCCCGAGGGAGTAGATGATCTTATCACCGGACTCTCTTCGGTTTCTTATGGAGGATCAGTGTTCACCTTTATGGGAATACCTTGCACTACCCAACTGTCTGTCGGGCTTGATTCGCTTGACTGTGCCTGTGGAATAGCGGGGTATTGAACCCGCTTATGCAACCATCTGGTGGATGGTTTATTTGCTTTCTTCACTTGCTCGGTTGTACCGAGGGGAATTTTGTCTATGAGCTATGTTGTTATGACTTCGCGACTTGCGAGTTGAATTATCGATGTTTGCCTTTTTCTGTCAAGGTACCGAAGTGGTCTTGCATTTTGTTCGCCCATCTTGACTCCTGAGTTATACCCATAGCAATATATGATTGAACTGCAACCATGGTGTTTTTTCACGTAATTGTCAACCAAGCTGGCTGCCACGTAGATATCATGCAATGTCCATTGTTTGTCAAGGCAAATTCTAAGTATTACCAATTTTTGCACTGTCATTCGGTATGGGTTATGTTTCATCCTTAGGCGATTGATTCCATTAACCCATACGGGCGTCTCGCATGTATAGTGGTGAATGATGAAAAATATTCTTGAAGATAATACCGAAGTGTTGCTTAACTGTAGACGGATATCGCCAGACTCCGTAGCAGCAGAATAAGAAGTCAGAAGCAGCTCATTGATTCGAATTATCCTGTGGAGTGAGTATAACAGTATCATGTTTTCCCTGTCAGCACAAAGAAAGAGAGAAAAAAGAAAAACAAAAAGAAGAAGCAGAAGCTGCCATAACACTCCAGCCTCACAGCCCTTTCGGGACGACTCATGACGGAGTGCACAACAACAATCCAGATAGATTGAAACATTGACTGAAAGACCATCTGACAAAAAGAGTCAAATGCGTCGGTGGCACTACCGAACTACTCCCACATAGAGTGCAAGTCAAGAGGCAGTCCTTTATCATTTTGATTCACCAAGCCAAATAATTTCAATGTACCTTCTGACGAAACTAATGCGAATTTCTTCGAAGCCGTTGCTTTAGCCAACTCAACAATAACTCGAAGCAACGTTGCAAGTTTATTCAACTGTTCTTGATGATTGTTCTCCCACCTCTGCAGCTTTCCCAGCTTTAAGAAGTTCTTTTTCGTAATGCTGGTAAAATTCCCGGCTTCGTCATAATGACCAGCACAGAGCAAGGGTGTCTGGGAAAACCAAAGTTGTTCTGTGTTCTTGGAGATATCCAGATTTTTCCAAATTGCTCCAGTTTTAATTTCGATAACCCGAGACGGAGCCACCAGCTTTCCACGCTTTATTACTGTATAGCCTGTTGGAGTCTTTCGGACCTCTGATGTAGGCATCGCCATGTGAATGTCCCTGTCAGACCCGGTGCAGCCGTCGACTTCATATCGCATAATAATCTTAACATCCCCGAACATGTAGCGAATGATTCGATTATGTGTCAAGCTATCCCTGACTGCCTTTGGTTGGCGGGTAGATACCTTTTCAAATTCATGCCCATAGCCATGGAAACCCTTAACATAATTAATTGCTCTCGGGGTCCAGCAGGAAAATAATACTGTGCTGTTGATGACCTCCACGTCGATGCGGAATGGACCCTTCTTGCCACTCACAAAACCCAGCAAGAGACGGAGATTACGTCGATCCGTCACAAGATCGATATCATTGAGTTTCATGTTTGGCTGTGTGAGCGATAATGCCCTGAAGAGGGGCTCGAGAGAGCATTTGGGGAATACATGTCGATTTGGGTCCATTTGGTATCTCCCCGCATCTACTTTCACCTTTCTTGGTATATTCGGGGGCCTCCATATGGAAGGTGAGCCTGGTACGTTGAGCACTTGTATCGAGACAGAGTTGATCTACGTACCCGGGACGACGATTGTTTTGCGCTGTTTTGGAAGTAGGTTGTATGATGTTAATGTTGTTAAATCGACTTTGGTGGTGAGACCATCTCTTGACTCGATGGAATCTAGAGAGATTTCTCCTAAGACATGCCCTAGACCTTTGTAAAGTGGATCTTTCGACATGTTTGGTGATTTGTATGGTGAGCGGGGAAGATAAGTTCAACGCGTTGTGTCAAACCCAAAGAAAGTGTTGATGCCTAACGCCGAGTTTTGCTGCCTGAGGTTCGTCAGTACAAATTCGTGAATCAAATCCGATCCCGACTAAACGTGACACTTGAAATTGCGCTTCGCCCCAAGCGTAATACTAAGAGCTCGGGTGTATCTGTTGGTGTCCGAGAAATTATTTTCAGATGTCATACAACCAGTGATGACATCTTTCCTTCGGTTAGGCCAATGCCTTCGCAGTCAACATGGGATATACCGATACGCTACTGGGAAACAATCGCAAGAGACGGCTTGGCTTGCTAGGGACACGGCTACTGCAAATGTAAGGATAATTGCAGCTTATCATAATTCTATTTAGGAAAACCGGACGCAATCAATCAATGATTATGAAAAGTGTTACTCATTCTCGCCTTCGGAATCAGCGTGGTATTCTGAACCTAATCTAATATCGCACCACTCATTCGACCAGATACCTTGAAATATGTAGATGATGATAGCCTTTTGTGCGCCTCTATCACTCAAAGGCTTACAAAACCAGGAGATCAAATATGCCGTTAAAACACCTTCGAAACCCTAAACGTTTTACAAGACAATAAATTTATACATACAGGTAAGTACAATTAATATCTGGTTTAAATGGCACCTCTCATACAGTTTGAATGATAAGAATTCCAACAACATCCATATCAACTATGGCCAAGGGGATGTACTGTTTACAGATGTTCAACTTGCAAACCGTGGTAATACTGCCCCCGCGGATTGGGTGTATGCCAAGGATAATGACTTGATTTGAGCGCCTAAATGAAGGAATGCTGAATCGCAGCTTCGAATGGGCTGGGGTTACACAAACACACATATGAAACAGTGTGAGTTCTTGGGGGCCATTCCTATTGACATACCGCAAAATCTTCCATCAGGGCACATTAAATATCCCGGTATACATCGTGGAAAGCCATTCATGCCGAAAAGAAAAGCTCGTTTTGAAGCATATCAGAATATGAGGTATTCAGAGAGGACAAAAGATTTATTCCAGGAATAATGAAACTTGAGCCAAGGAATAGACTAGCAACAGCAGAGTTCCCGTAGCACAAGTGGCTCTTTGGTAAAAGTACATAATCAACATGAAATGAATAGCAGCATTAACCCAGCCTTTGAGTTGGAATCTCCTACTCTGAATTATTTTTGTGCCAAGGCCTGGAGTTTCAAGATATATAGAAACAATTATACAAATAAAAGGGAACAATAGGGTAGCTCATTTTTCGCACGTGTAATAGATAAAGAGAATAAATGGATGCAATGCATATTATGCCGATTTTGACTGCCAGTAAAAGTGGAATTTGGACAGGTTAGTTTAGTATCACTGGGATGGCCAAGCGCCAAGGGAACAGGTGGCAGCCCTCTTAATATTGGCTGCCTATGTATGCGCCAAGCAATGCATGGATCGATCAAACATTTAATATGCTCACTACTGTTTCAGTGCCTCTTCGCTGAGTCCTCTTTTCTGGCGTTCCGGCGTCTGCTTTGCACCAGGAGACCACTTGGGTGACAATGGATTGCACGTTACACTCAATTTCGCGATTTTGTGATCTCAATCCCCAAATCTGATCAAACCGTCTCTGTACAACCCGACTGGGAAGTTAGACTGCCAACGAATAAGATATGAAAGGATTTGTGGCTGGTTGCAGGTTGAAACCCACTTGTGCTTTGACATTTGCAGGTCTTGGTTCGGAATGGAAGTATCCAAGCCACAATAACGCAACAACAGTGTCAATTTCACGCAGCTGGAATTGGATGCAGCACAGAGCTGCGAGATCACGTCAGCCCTACGCCACTTGCAGCAATATAACCTCCTTGGCGTCCTTCATGCGGACCAATAAATGCGGACCCTGGCATGGATGCGATGTCGCCATCAGAAACGGGCAGGACGAGTTGAATACACGCCATCTTCCACACTTCAATCATCCAACCGCCCATAGATCCGGCAGAACCGACCAGATAATACCATAGATTATATTAATATCTTGGTCTGGTACCACCTGACGCCATATTGATTGTTGATAGCGACCCCCCAACGGGGCGTACCCCGCCCACTGATGGACCCATTCTCCTCCAGGGTCCACTATTGACCTGTCTGCCAAGAGCCTCTACACTGTTACAACCACACCGAGTGGGGTACTCTCATCTACAGCGGCGCCCGTGTCAATTTTATTCGGCAAGGATCACCTGGTTTCTCCGCTATGGTTGTTGCCTGGACACTCGAAAGCCATCTCCCAGCGCAGGTTGAAGCACCATTGCTTGATGGAGTCGCTGTGGTCCCCTGCTGTGCTCCTTCGCCTCTCCACTACCTGCAGCGATGCGGGAGTACTGGACTAATGGTCGAAGGCCATGTGTTGAACATCATGGATCCATGTGACAGTGCAACGTGGGGTATGCTCTGTTGTTGATAGTTGAGGGGATATAAAGCCCACCTGTTGACCACCTCGTTCGCTTCTCTATCAGTCTGGTCAATCAACCTCTTCACCCTTGCTTCTTCAAACAACAGCCATCTTTCTTCACCCTCTCATATCTTCTTTTAAAGTCGTATACTCTCTCTGCATTCACCATGAGCTTCCACCTGAGTGCTGAGGATATCGAGATCAGGGATAACCACATCCTCTTCGCGCGTCTTAGGAACGAAGAGGGAGAGCTCCAAGAGTCGGAGATCGACTTGGATGAGTTCCTCGGAAACAACGACGGTGGGTGATACACAAATGTCCAATCTAGTCAAACTATTCTGACATCGGCTTGCTCTAGGATCCTTCGAATGGGACGGCGAGAACTTCTCCGGGTCGGCCGAAAATGTCAGATTCGAGATTGAAGGAGACGGCGAAGTGCCGGTGCTACGCGCCGGCCTGTTCAATCAAGATGGAGAGCCAGTTGAAAGCGATGTTAACCTTTCTGAGCGGGTCATCAATGAGAACGGGGCCTTTGTCTTTGTATGATGTTTGTCTGATAAGCTAATTATCTATCCATGTACGATGGTAGTACAATTGAAGATTATCGAGTTATCCTGGATAGAAAAGCAAGTCAATAAGATAATATATTATGCATTTATGTCTTGATGATATCCATTATCACCCCAGCTTTCCCATGCCAAAATGTGGATGTCTGCTATACACAACGTTCCTCCCACGACAAAAAAATATATATTAGTATATGAATGAGATAAACCAAAATACTGGAAATTATTAATTTAATAACTTAAAAGCTAAAATAAAAAGAGTGAACGCAATGTGAACACACATTAGATGAAAGGCCGGGATGTTGATGCCATCGATTCGGATATCCGTTGTGCTATACAGAAACGACAGCCATCAGGGGACGCCACAATGTACGGGTCACCCTGAGCAACTGCCGGCTGCCATGTCCAGATTATTTCTATCCTATCCTCACCACCACTCAATTCAACATCAAGAAATTCCACTCATTGAGTTGCGTTCCCGCTGGTCACTAGTGTGTGGGGCGCAGAACCAAGGCTGCAGTGTTAAGTCCTACACCACCTGATCAGTGCACCGCTCCTAGTGCAGTGTGTTTAACCAAGGCGTGGTCGGTAAGAGGAGAAAGAGTGCCAAGCTGAGCTATAGTCTTCACTTCTTCTGGCGACCAAGCGACAGGGTGATTAACCGCTTGACGGTCTACCAGAGTATCGCCAATCTACCTGTCAATGACGCCCACGTCCCACCAGTATTTGTAATGAAGTAAGGAAGAGGATACCGCGAGTATGTCACGAACCTTGCAAGTAGTAGCTACACCAGACCATTGCGATCCGCGATCTGTAAACATTCTGACCAATAGAACCTAGATGATTGAGATTTCCTGTCGCACAGTATCACAGAGAGTATTACAAGGTGGCGCTTTCCAGTTTCTCGTGACAAATCTATCCAGCAGATGGGCTTATATACCTTCAATACTACAAATATATTCTTAAGCTACGTTTTTAGACAAACCTTACATAGCCCAGTCGATTAAATTATAGGATATGCTCCGAAATATTATACTATGAACTGTTTGAGTCCATACCGGAACCAATGGGTGGCTCAGTAAGGGGGGCTTTCCATTGTTACAACTGATCTGTCGATTTTGGGGATCTGCGAAGAATATCTGGGTGGCTATCACTAGACTTAGGTTTGGTGATGGGTAGCTATTTAACCAAAAAGAATACAGCTGACCCTACAACATTATGTATTTAGTTGCTGCATCTAGCATCTTGCTTACTACTAGTATACTTATTGATGGAGAGTTGGTCAACCTACCGTGCTGATAGGGTACTAACCGGTTGCTTTTGGTGACTGGTTTGATTGTAACTCATTAGCGCAATGGGCTCTTCTTTATTGGAATTGAACGTGAATATTAAGCTGCAGATCAATAATTGGGTCTAGATTGGATATGTTGATATAGTTGTCTTCTGTCAATGTGCCTTTCACGGAGATTGTTGTATCATCTTTACTATGCTGATATCACATCATTTTCGCCATGTCACTGTCCATTCTAAAATTACTTCAATTATTCTCTACTCACCTGACACTCTTCGCTGTAGCAAGAACTATTACTGTGGCTCAGTATAGGGTTTCCTGGTTGGTCGGAGTAGGTAGTGGGATTAGTATCCCTGCTTTAATCGATGCCTAACGCCTCGTCCGTGCTCAGAAGCAACCTAGCGGCTAGGTTTGGTTGGTGTTCGTGACATTGCAACGTTGTACCAGCCTTTGACTCTGTGTGCCGAGTAACGAATAAACAGAATTATTTGGTACTTACGACACTCGAGACCTCGATTTCATAGTGCTTGAGGGTTTACCTGAAGCTATAAAGGGCTGGGATCGACTCCTCGTCTGGGGCAAAAACTGACTTCGAGACATGCAAGCTTTCCAACTCGTTTTATCAATTCTGCATCGCAAATACAACCATCGCTAATCACCTTTAGCGGACCCTTAGCCAAATCCCATAGATCAACGACAAGTCGGAATTAACAACTAACTGGTACGTGAGCGATACTTAGACAATCTTTTGTCTTCTGACTAGTCATAGCAAGATAATGTCACTGATCACTGACCAACTTCTTAAGTGTCTTTGGGAGCTAGCCCAAGCGCAATCTTCGAACGAATGGGCTTCCGCCAAATTATGGTCTCACTTATGGAATAAACACCTCTTCGCAGAGAAGGAATGGGCTGTCTCCTTGGAAACTCCTCAGGAGGGACATGGCCGTCGACGGGGTGGATATCACGATAGAATATTTTGGTCGAGATAGTAAATTAGCCGTTCTTGCCTTCCATGAGGCAAAGGCATTGAACGGGCCTCAAGATGTTCAGGATGCCGAGAAACAAGCATTCGATACTTGTATGAGATATCTCGGAGAACATCCGGAGTTGGAATTTGTGTATGCTTTCACATCATTTGGCACAAAAGGCAGAGCTTGGCGGTGCGATCGAGAGGAAACTTTTTTTACCCCCTTGTTTGGCTCACTCGACTTGGATGTGCGTTCCCAGTATGTTGAGCTTCATTCCTCGGAAGCCCGACTGATCAGACAAGCGGTCCAAACGATGAAAGCTGTGCCGCCATCTGAATAGGGTTATGGAAGGTTATCGGCTGGCTTTCACATTCTAACGTATCTTTTCATGTTGATTCTCCGAGCGGAAATATATTTTGCGTTTCTATCTAGGTCTGCCAACGGGGTAGACGAGCTACACCCACGAAAAAAAAGTAGGACGCAGCAAGAATATGTTACCCAACAGTCGGAGCTTGCCTGCATAGCACGCATAGAGACTGCGCAATATGAATGTCTTGCCCAGAAGTCATTTATAATGAACCCATTTGAACTAAATTTGGCATATCACGTAGATAGACAGCGCATGCTTCCTAAAGCTTTCATGAATAAAGGCAGCTTGTGTATTATACAATGATCAAGGTTGGTGTAGAACCGAAAACCACAGAACGGACCGAGCCTTGGCGGAAATATGCGGCCCGTGCCTTGCATAAATACTAATAATGGTGTCGTGCCTCCCCGAACACTTTCTTATTTCACTAGGAAAGTCGACTAGTAAGCTGGGGTGACCAGGATAGAATCTAAATAATGACTACCGGCCACAACAGTGCAGCTATATCATGTGATATCTGTTCAACTCCAAACCCCGTCCAATGTTGTTTCGGATGCCCTTTCTTTCTTCATGATCCCTGCAGTTGAGATGGTACCTCTCGAACTCCCTTTCTCTAGTGATTGAACATTATGCTACCTAGATGCCTCCAAATCTATCATTATTTTGCTACCAGAATTGCTGGTTAATATTTTGGAGTCTCTGGCTTCCTCAACAGACTTTCCTGCGATAGTCAAAACATCATCGCAGTTTAATCGGCTATGCAGCATATAAGTATTCCATTACGTCCGCAATTTCGATACACGCTACGCCCAAGTATGTTGAACTAGAAAGAATACTGCTATTTCATATTTTCCGGTGAGCGCAAACATATTAAATTCAAGTGATAATGAGAATCAAAACCATGAGTCTATGACACAATAAGGACACAACCAAAACATAGACGAATAAGGATGTCGACAGAACAGAACCGTGAAAAAGCGAATACAATTGGAAATTAGGTCAAAAACAGCCCAAACATGTAGACAATGGCAACATTTTCGTCTTCGTAAAAGGTGTCATACATTAGTCACTGTACCTCAGGAAGTTGAACTAGACTTTGTCTTAGCGTACCGTGCACAAAAGATCTGGCAATTGGTTCCTGAAGATGAAGAACGGCGTAGCGGATATCGACGCATAAGCTACGCGGAGCTTTTGATAGTATAAATCAAGAATGCACTGCTATCCTTGACCTGTTTAAGCCAGGAAAAGGTGATCAAGTCTACGAGTTGGTCTCCGATCGGGCGCTTTTACCGGACATATGGAAATTCTACAACAGTTTCGAACACCTCCTAGTTTCCTACGGCACCAGGGCATTCTCAGACCTACAACAGTCTTTCTCTGTTTCGAATGTGTTGTTATCCTTTACAGAGCAGACCCGTCTGCAGCGAGCCTTTTTTTCGGTGGGAAATCTATACGTGCCTGTTCCAGATATCACAGGCTTTTGGTGATGATCCTCTCCTCCCGGCACCGTCAACTGACCCAGCACCAATGTTTGCAGCAATGCTTCACCCCTGGGAAGTTGAGGAAATGTTCTGCGTAGGTCAGTTCTATAAGGTTCTTATGGAAGAACTTAGCGATAAGATCGAGGAAGACTTTGTGACAATGGTAAAGGAGAAGATAGCTGCGTGCGCCGATGTTGGTGGCGAGCAGAAAGACGAAGTTGGGGGTATGTTGGATTGGTTCGGCCTATGGTGGTATGACGAATCGTTTAAGAGAAGCGACCGGTCAGAATATATAGACTATCTCGTCTCGCGAGGAATGCTATTCATCCGGAAGCTGACCAGCGCACCATTTCCGATTGTGAGAAGGAAGATTGTAAAATCAGATCTCCAAGCTAGCGGTAAAAAAATTCGATATTGCTTGGATTGGACCAGTTGAACTATGGCGACGAAAGAGAAGAGGATGAAGGGAAATCCAATACACGGCACGCAGAGGACGATTCTGATGAGGAGTGTCTTGGGCATTGCAATTTCGGTTGGCTATGGGCTGTCAGGCATACGAAGATGGAATGGCGATGGGATATCGCTCTCCCAGCTAATTATGATTTACGAAATCGGGCTACGTCTTCTGGGACAAAGCACGGCTGCTAAAATGTCAAGAGTTCCAATCTCCTCGTGATCCAGTAAAGAATGCTTTTCAGTTACCTTCCGGCTACCAAGAGCATTCTGAACGGCCAGGTATTCAGACCAAGCTCAAAGGCCTCCTTATCCCTTGGGATGTTACTGCAGAGATCTCGGACGAGATTGACGGCCGGCAGGATGGTGGTCCTCCTCCTTCTCTGACAGACTGGAGGAACTAGTCTCATGGTGCCGAGATCACCCTTTTATGTATTCTAGTTTTTTAATGTCGTTGGACACAATGCTTTACGTATCACAGGTTCCAGTGATTCTGTTGCTCCTTAGGCCCTTTCGAACCCTCTTTGCAATACAAGGTCGTTATTATATACTCAGTACGATTGGTAGCGTGATGCAAAACTATGCCTTTTATATATCAAGCAGTACAGGTTAAATTTCATCCAGGCCGAACCCTCCGGTAAGGGTTGTAGTCAACGATATATAGTCTCAAAGCCTCAACCAATTGAATACTATTACAACTACACGCCCAACATCCCATACTTCAAATTAAATCCATATGGCCGATAAAAGCCCTGCTAGAACGGCTCTTGCTGTGGAAACGCGGCACGCATATCCTTAATGAACTTCTCGTCCAGGAGAGAGAATAAAACCGGATCATTCTCCTTCTGCATCCAGGTAGCGTCATGCGCTAAGGCAACGTGAATCCCCAGCTCTTTTTTCAGCAATCTAATCCGTGCCAGCGTATCCTTTGCTGCAGTGACATCTGTGTGGAGACAAGCCATAGTCCCGCCGACCTCGAAGGTCCCGAAGTCCTTGGTACCATCGAGTAGTGCCCTGTGTAAGAGTTAGTTTAGGTCTCGAGAAAATCAATAAATCGAGTACCGTGAATGACAACAATCCGAAGCCAACATCACCCACTCGCCTGTTGCGAGCCTAGCACAAGCACACATATTACCTGGCATATGGCCCGGGGCCTGAATCACCCAGAAGCTCCCGTCCCCAAAAAAGTCCATCGCGCGCTCGAACGGCCCAAAACGCTTCCATGGCCCCTGTAACGTCTCCCATCGTTCTGTCGCCCGTTCTGGATCGAAGTATCTTCCGTCCCATGTAGAGGATGGGTTCACGAAATGGCCGGGGGCGCAGTATTCAGCTGTACCAGGGCCAAAAAGCACGGTCGCATTCTTAAAGGTCTGGCTTACTGGTCGGCAGTGATCAAAATGTGCATGACTATATATAGGTAAGACAGCTGTATCGTACCCAAACTGCGAGCGCTGCAGTCAGCGCAAGGGACATTTATTGTTCTCGAACCTGAGCAAAATGGTATCGATTTCATCAGCTCCAACCCCGTTACGACGCTCGATTTGCTTTTCAATCGACTCGCGAGGATCCTGAGGATGAATTTCTTTAAACGGTCCGTTGACGATAGCTGGGGGAAAATCTTCTGGAACCTTTGACCAATAAATACTTTATGTTTCTGAGCGGGGACCGAACCTTAGAGAGCAGAGAGACGTACTGATGACATTCCCAGATCCCAGATCATGCGTCGGTTTTGTTTAACGTGATGGATAAAAAACGCCCAGTTATACAGCCGAAACTCCTTCGGCTCCTCCCCCGCGTGGAGTATGTGGGACTGCGCCGTCATGCTTCCTCCATTAAGGAGCTGGACATGAACGTAGTCATCTGTCACGGGCAGTTCCATCTTGGGATCTGGCCTGATAGGCAGTCTTATTGCTTCCTCGCGCAGCAAAGCGATCAATTGGGGATGTGTTTTCCATCAATTAACAGTTGTGGGTTGTTGGACGCTACAGCCAAGTGGGGTTCAACTATAGCGGGTTGAATTAGATTATGGCTCGGACCTTTCGCCTCCTATGGGGCATAATCCCGTACGGAGTAATGTACTGACTTACGTATGGACCCACATTTATAAGGTAGTATAAGAATCAGCGACTGGTTTTCCGATGAGAATCTGGGATGATATCTCTCTGGCACAATCTCTTTAATCGGCTGACAGCCGACTTACGGATTCTCTCTGGTATCCTGGACACGAAATCGTTCCTGTCGATCTTGAAACCACTTATTCAGAGGATACTCAGGTTAGCAAGTCCACAAATCACACCTACGTTGGCTTTATTCACCCTAATTTACACTCCATCGAGACTAGCCTGCGTTTGAATCAGTCCACTCAGAACACCGAAGTTACTCCCAAGTCTAGGGAGTCGGGTGTTACTATTACTGCAGCTTACGCGGCAGGAGAGTGGTTGTACAGAGGAGGATTCTTCGGGCATCTTGCAAATGACGATTATATTCATCAGTAGTTGTGATCTATTATGGATACAGAAGTTATTATAGCACATCATCTCTCTCTTATATAACCTTAGAGATCCACTTCCATAGTTCGGAATCCGCAATGAAGAGATCCCCCCTTTCAAGGCGTCTTGGATGTCCTTCAGTGTACTGAGATTGCCATTTGGGACATCACAGTTAGACTTCTAGCTATTGAGTTTTTCAGCACATCGTCCCTGAAGTAATCATGCTCCGCTTTCTCTATCTTTTCTGGAGACTGATATTCTATTGGTATCTCCTTGTGCCGTTTTATATTGCGGCATAACGAGTGTTGGTTGGGAAAATAAGTCTTCAAGTCTTTATCGGAGCCGTAAATCTGGCCCCAGACTACAGTAAATAAGCAGTAATCATCTATCGAGTCGAAGTTCAGAAGGTATTTTAGTGATCAGGCTCATTTACTCTGTTAAAATAACTTCGATATCCTGCTTCTGAGTCTCTGATCCCTTCCGCTTGCCCAGAGTACGCACTCTTGAAGCTGTCCTCAAAGGAGGTTGCGAGATCTTTAGGAAGTCCATCACGCGATTGTGGTATTCCAGGGGGATAAGACCCATAGCCTCAGGAACTGACGAGCAAAAGGCCCAGTCAATGATGCATGTGATGTTATAGTCATCGTCGACGTATATGTTATTGACGCTCAAGTCTGAATGGCACAGTGGAAAAGAATTATAATTCAATTTTGATATATGCTGCAGCTATCTTGGTATCATATCCCGAAGGACCTCGCCAGTGATAATATAGTCAAGCCTATTGTCCGAGGAGTCGATTTTGCATCCTACCGTGACGAAATCATTCCAGAGGTTGCGCGCCGTCTTATAAAGCTTAGTAGAATCATATAGCCCTTGGCAAGGAACAGGTGCGACGAAACAATGGTGCGATAGTGGCAAAATTTCGGCGTGCTGGATCAGTGCGTCGACAAGGCTATCATAGAATCGTGTCTCAGAGGAGAATGGGCCTCGAGGTACATCTTCCAAAGAGTACCGTTCGTGAAAGATGTGGCCTCGGGAGAGACACTCACCCACCCGGAAATCCCCGTTTTTTCAAAGAGCGACCCTATACAACCCAAACGCAATTGTGAGAGCTTGAATGCAATGGTCCCTAGTTGGAAAAGTATCTTGGTCTTTATTTTGGCTGATAGTTCTGTCTGTCCGGACCTAGTCGACTTCCACACTCTTCGAAGCGGAAAGCCGGTTGCTTTACTCATCAGGATATACTGGATTCCAACGTCGTTTTTTTTCGGTTGAGCTTCCAAGGTTAGTTTGAGACAGGTCAGCAGCCAGTGGAACTTACGAGTAAGAATATACATGGGGGACTGGGATGTCACTGTTCCTCCTCACGTAGCTGAGTGTGGCTGCTTCACTTTCCAACAGCTTCGAACTGATTTTCATTGGGCATAAAGCTATATCCGGTGTGTGGAGACCGCAATACCCATTGGATTCCATCCTCAAATACAATGTATATCGCCCAATTGAAACTTCCACTTTCAGGTACTTGATTCACATCACATCGACAGGTACTACCTTGACGCAGACGGCTTGCTAATCGACAAAGGGCTTGTAAATCGAACTCGGCGTATGCGAAAATGTCAGGTCACCGGTTTGATTGCATGTCAAACGGTGACAATGGAAAAGGTGTAGCTTTTACGCATGTGTTGGGTAGTTATGGTCTGGGAGTATGTCTTGAACCTTGAGGATGAACGGTAAATTTCACCTGTTATTTGATCAAGAAAAGAACAAGTATTCCACGGCATAGATAAGGTGCCAAGGGAGGTGAAGCAAGGATTGGGGCATGTAAGTCTGGGTGGCGAGCGGGACACACCGTTAAAACAAACTGCCAGCACAGGCCCCTAAGCGAGGCTTGAAGTTTGCCCTTAACGAAATGGGATCGTGCCTACATCTTCTCTCAGCCACGTAGTATATTCTGATGGTTTTGTTTATTGACCTTTGGTCTTATTAGAAGCTAACATGTAGTCCGCTCTTCCAATCGCAACATTTATACTGTTATCACGGCATATTAGTGGGAAGGGTGGCAGTTTGTGCCATCAACAATTTGGAGAGTGAGCTTTTGAGGCCCCTAGTCTTGATCTTCCTATATGTGTAATCCTTGGCTTCGGCGCTGGCCTCATTACGTGGAGCAGTGAATTCCTGTGAAACTTTAGCACATGTACGTTTGCCTCCAGAACTGATCACTGCATTGAGATAAACACCGGCCACGGGGGTCAGATAATCTAAGCACCACTTACATGGTGAAAAGGAAATACTGTAGGTCGCTTAGCTAATTTCTCACATCAGGGGCTCAAAGAGCCAGTCTATGTTAGAGTAAAGATGGTCGGTTATTCCAGAGGCAGACACTTCGCGGATCAGGCCAGTGTTATCGAAATAAACTGGTTCGGTAGACTCGTCACCGCTAGGGATATGGCATGAATTATGAACGTTTGGCATGGGAGGGAACAGGCTTTGTTTGCTTTGACTATTCAGGGCCCCCATACTTGACTCCAAAGCCCCTGCCGATTGATCATCTAGGACCTCACGAGAAATTCCCAGTTTTTCAGCCCTGGCCGTGGCGGCGCGCTCCATCAGCCGCGACAGAGGCTTTTGGAACAGGGAGTATGTCACAGGCGCTTCTTTAACACACTTATTGTACATACTGGTGACCACGGTCCAGGCGTGGTCGGTTTCCGGGCTGATGTCCCGAGCGCAGAGTTCCGACAGAACGTAAGCTAAGGCGTGCCACTGCTTGTAGCTCCGGCATAACCAGGCAAAATGTGCAGTAGTTTCATTTTCCTGCAAGAAATAAGCAAATTCGGTGATTTCGACGGCGGTTTGGAAGATAGGATCGGCTACTTGTTTCGTGGAAGCCGACTCGTTGACGCCTTTTGATGTCTTTTGTATGTGGATCGCCAACCATACTTTCGACAGCATGAGCCGACCGATCGTTGCGACCATCCATTGTATAGGAACACCAAGGTCAAAATGGTCCAGATAGTGGTCTTGAAGACGAGATGCTAGAGCTTTGATATGGGCCTCCCGGTCACTAATTGATATCTTCGAATTCCGACCGAAGGAAGGACCCAATTGGGAGACGCTAGCCGCAATTTGGCAGTTGATAATGCAGAGAGTGATATCAGTATACCCCATTCTCTCGGATGGTAGCTCTGTCATATCCGGGACTAGGTCATAGCCATCGACGTTGGAGGGGAGACGTGTATCAAACGTGTCTGGTTTGATCTGGGTATCAGTTCCTTGATCCTCTGAAGCAAGCATATCCAATATACAGACATGCCACCACAATCGTCGACGCATTTCTGTTTCGAAAGGGCTTAGGCCAAATTTTGATCCATCACGATGAATACCCTGGCCCTGAGCGATACGCACAACCACGGCAGCTTCAGCCCATACAATCCTTGTGTCACCTACTACGCGAAAGCACAGCAGAAAGACCACCGCTGCCTGAAGAACAGAGATATTTTGGGACCTTATAAAGTTGGCCTGCTTTAAGGCCCCGTTCACAGCTACACTCAAGCCCTGAATGGCTATGTCATGCGATTGTCCAAGTACTGATGCACACTGATCAGGTGTCATGCTAACGACAGCAGCAAAGCAGACAGATAACATCAGGGATCTGCTGCCGGGCTCTAAAGTGATGCCATCAGCCGAGTCGCGCACGATCTGCTCCACTGATGGTACGTGCAGGACAGCAATCAACGGGTGAACGCGAGTTTGGTAGGTACGCCACAACATGGATAATTGGGCTGAATGAGGATAGAACCCTTTAGAACTCATGTTGGTCCAATTAGTATCTCCAACAAGGCCTCCGTGCGGGAGGCCAAATGGGCCCAAGATATTTTCCGTCTTGATATCATCCTCTGGCGATGAACTGTCAACGACATCCCGCAGCTCTTGGATCTGTACATGATCAGAAACCACTGATGAACCATTCAAAGGACACCAACTTCCCTACCTTATCTCCAAATATCACAGAAGCATCATCATCAACATACCGACTCCTCCCATCTCTGACTACCAACCGGCCACTCTGATCTGGTTTCTCAAGATTCGTTCTGGTTGAATTGGGTACCTGAGCCTCACTACATTTTCCTAGATTAGACACAGAGTCATCCTTGCCTGCAGGATGCATTGATCGAAGCCTCTCAGCATCTTCCAACAGTTTCAAGCGAGCCATTAATTCAGAAACCGGAGGTCTATTCAGTTTTCGGGACGCCCGCTTTGCCCCGGGAAATACACACTCTTTCCCCAACCGTGAGCATGCCTCACACGGGTGTTTCCTATCACATCGGACCTTCCGTTGGCGACAGTTGTTGCAGCTGCGCTTGCTGACCTCACCCTGGGGGTGGTTCGGCATGGTATTTTTGCGTAGTTGGAGGGGTATTACACACCGGGCGGCATTTTACAATGATTTTGGGTTAATCTGTGGCGTTGATACGGGATAGTATTGTAACCATTCTCAGATGGTTGTTCAAGGAGGTTGCATATTGATCGACATTTAATTGACTTTGGTATAAATCGCTTGGCGTATGTGGCTATTATGTCATCATTTTTTTCTTTTTCGACTTCTATTTAGCCTTATCAGTGATCTATTGAGACATGATTTCATCACTGTGCAGAACTCATAACTACTCTGCGCTTCAAGCCTTCTGTCTCAATTTACTAGAGTGATATCAGTATTTAGAGTGACCAGGAGGTTAAGAATATTTGGAAACACAGAGTGGGAACTGAGAGCATGGAACTCTGTACCGTTGCCTCTGCGTAAAATGGAGAAAACAGGCATATTTCCCAGGTAAATCTTTTCATAAAAATAATGGTACTAATTAGATATCATAACTCGGAGCCCGTTCTTCATTTTACTCCTGCAATTTCGAACTCGAAGTGGATACCGATCGGCGCACTAAGAGTAGGGCGCTTATTTGTGTGTAGACACTGTCGTAGTACCTACTTAACTATAAGTGAAGGAATAATATTCGGTTATCAATTATGAAAGCATTTTGAAGCTTACCAAGATGTTCGTTCAAGCTTGGATACTCTCATCATGCACTTTAGCGTCGGGGTTGAGATCAACGCCGAGAGTGGAGCCGATTACCAATGGACGATATGAGCAATAGGTTGTGCTGTTAGCCGTCCGAAAAAAAAAAGATTTAAATTGGAAGACATTGGTCTATGGCAGAAAGACTAAAGTCGAATAGAAGTGCCACAGAAACAGACTGAGTTGTAATCTATTATACAAATCTCGCCTGTTCTTGCTTTTTCTTCTTATGTTGGCTGCATCTCCTTCTATCTTACGGTCTTACTATTTTATCCCAAATGATTCCGTCGGTTTTTTTTATCCCAAATAGCTTTAAGCAACGGAAAGAATCTATCGAAATCGAACGTGTCTGAACTAATGACTTAGTACAGGCCGAAGAGACCATCCAAGAGGTTCCTTCAACGATTCGGAGACGGGCCAGTCTCGCCAGACAGTCTCGTCACGATCTAATGCATCATCACCATGCTTGCATCTCTACAAAACAGTTTCCGTTATTCTCTCCAGCCCATCGATATTACGAAAGAAGGCATCAAAGAAACCAGGGACGCCAATGTATATGGATCCTTTTGGCATGGTCTGGAGTCATCCTTTTGGGCTCTGTTCTAGATATGCATCCATTACGAGCGACCTGGCAAAATGAATCGGGCCCACGGACTGAGACTGCTGAAATTATGACGACGACCAGAATCTTGCGAATTGAGAACGAGGAATACTCACCGACGAGGTGGAGTTTTCTAACATCGTAAGCCGATATTTCACAGCTTGCTATCAGCCATTGGCACCTTACGTGAACAGGCTGCGACGGATAACGTTTCCTAGGGGCTCGAGAAGGAGGAGCGGAAGTAGAGGACTCCAGCGCCAGTTGAATAATATCCTTCAGATTACAGCCAAGGATCCAGATGTGCTTATAACCCATGACTAATCCTGGGAAGAAACACGATTGCTGATGTGGGCGTTTGAAGAATTGGGGGTTATATTTCGGTGGTTTTGTGAGTGAGGGTATAAAGCCGATATTTCAGCGTTGAGAAGGGCACATCCACGTCTGAACAACATCGAGGCCTGGCTAGAGACGGAAAGTGGGTTCCTGCCCAAGTAGTCGCCGGGTTTGTTCGGGTTTGTGCTGCGTGGGTCTGTATTATCGTATTTGGTCAAGAGTCAGTTATTGAGGGTATATTGACCCTAGTTTCGATTTGCACCGTGTTCCCATATAGGGTTGGTCGCCGGTAACACATTATGTTACTCATCGGTATTTCAGTGGAAATCGAGCGTTGTGTTTTCTCAGGTTGGTTCCTGTAATTTGGCTTTCTAGTATACCCCATTTTTATGATTCTGCTGCACGGTCAGCGTTGGAGTTATAATAACGATTATAAAGGCCATGGTTGTCAGTGTTAAACTACGCTTTTCTTGTCGCAGAATTCGTTGACTGTGCGTATGAGTCGAATACTCTTCAAACCTTCCCATATGGGTGCAGCCTCTACCTTAACAACATATCAAGTGTGCGTCGAAGGTCCCAATTTATCTTGCACTTCTACCCTGCACTACACCCACGGAGTTCTAGTATGCTCATGTCGTCTGTTGCGATAGACTGGGGAACGGGGAAAACTCGGCATCGGGTTATGCTGCTTGATCGACACGTCTGATTGCTATTCAGGGATTCATATTGCTCTAGATAGGACTAGATCAGGTAACTATGCGTAGCAAAGAACATATACGTCTGGTTGGGAGTTGTGGTGTTGGTAAGTGCCACTTGCCATTCTCCTCAGGAGGAACCGAATGTATTTCAAAACGGGGGTGCGTAGAGTGGGATATCTGTGAGAACTGATGCGAAGTTGGAGAATGGTAGAGCAGATGCAGGCTGTCAATCAGAACCTACCTGTTCAAATGAAGAGCGAAGGGAGGATAGCAAACTGCGTTCACCCAATTCCAGTAAGGCCCTACGAGTCCCATCCTAAGCGACGTTCAAACCTGCTTGGTCGTATGCTGGGCTGACAGGAGCAGGGGGCCGATGAGGGGCATCACACGGGATGATGGGTGGATCTCATGTGTTGCTGCGAAGGAAATCGCTGGATTGCGGGTCTAAGGGCTAGGATCACGAGTGTGGATAGGATGAACACAACCACGGAAATAAATTCCACAAAAATAGTCCCTCGGATAATACCCCAACCAGTGATTGATTTGAGATAGACGCGATCTTCCTAATCTAATGTTATAGTGCAATGCAAATTAAGACTAAACAATATTTGGCAGTTCAGTGATGTCAAGAAAATTACTAATTCTATCATTGAGGAACCGGACGGGGAAAAGGACGGGTGTAGGACGCAATTGTCCCTCTAGACCGTTTACCGCGGAGAAATACTAAAGAAAAACCCCTCTATGTCGCTATTACCATATATCCATGCTCCCAAGCAACGCCCCTGAAAAGATGAGAATGCTAGACCGAAATCCAATGTAACTCCTCTCACTCCCTGTAGTCCGATGCAATGGGGGGCTGTTGGATTAAGCTTGCTGCCAGGCTGCAATCTCGCCTGCCGACAGGTCTATGTTCTCTGGGATCAGGCTTTGGAGTTTTGTGACCTGTGATGGAGCTTTAAGAGAGTTAGCTATTAAGAACCCTTCCCAGAAGAACATGAGGTGCCAGAGATGAAGTTGTCAACTTACTTGGCCGCTGAACTGCCGGAGCACCGGCATGAACCTCAATGACGCCCGAATCAATATAATCTCGCGTCGTCACTCCACTGGCGGAAGCAGCGCCCAACATTACTCGCAATCGATATCGTCCTGGCTGCCCGATGGTGAGCCGGCTGAATCTTCCAAACCCAGCCGTAGTGTTTCCATGACGGCTGCGCACACTCGACGTCAATGTGCCGGTCAGTCCGGGACAAGCCGCGGTTCCTGACTCATTTCGTAGCGACACATTCACGACCAACTGTTGCACAGAACTGTCTCTGGGGGCACCGACAGGTCGAACCGCAACGATCACCGGTAGGGTCAAGGGAACGCCGGGACGAACGGCTGAGGGAGGCGCACATTCGAATGTGATGCCGTATTCACGACTGGAACTACCGGAGCTCGTTCTTGCAGCGCTTTGGACCATAATGGGCTATCCTTCTCACGACGACCGCAGAAGAGATTGACAGTGGGGTACTGTCCCTTTATCTAGGGCCGATATAAGTGTGATTGGAGGACAAAGGAATCAATGGCACAGCACAAAGGAACATGCACCTTGCGAGGAGTAATAAGCAATTGACACTATATTGAACGAGACAACGCTGATTAGGAGAATGTTGGAATTGGATGAGGTAAGAAGATTCCTGGCTTCCATAACATATTCATATACCTCTGACCCAAAAGAGCTCCGCATATAATAGGCAGTAATATAGATGCAATGTGAAATGAAACCATGGTTACTCTAATGAACTCCGCATGTTTGCCACCACAGGAGACTAGAGATCGATAGATCTGAATGACCAAATGACGCCGATCTGTAGAGCGAAATAAGATCCGGACAGTATGGGGAGGGGATGTCGGAATGGTTAGGGTTTGGTAGGGTTCGCACCGATAAGACCTGCAAGATTCTGCATAAAGGACGTTGGTGGGGGACTCCCGGAATGTGGGCTCTGACTATTGATTTCTGGTTGACGCACGTTCTTATTTTTACGTTTCCCGCAATTTTATCTTTCCTTCTGCTGCTGTCTTATTATTACGCGTCAACAATGAGATCAGAGGTGATCTAAGTTTGTTGTACCATGGTCGAATTGAGTTTGCTTCTTTCTTGCCTAGAAGGCAAAGTGCAATGAGACATGTCCCAATGAACAACTTTCCAATGATTGTTGTTAAGTTCGATCAGATCCGTCGCGGGATATGCAACAAGATTAGGGATTTGGTGACCACGCTAAGCGCTTCCGAAATTCAAGGCCATTGGGTCGCTGATCCACAGTTTTTTTTTTTCTGTTTGATTTATTTTTCTTTTTCGGTGGCCTTTCCCATGAGCTCCTTTCGTTCAATGTGATTGGAATGTGAGCTTACTTCCGTAAACTTCGGGGAATTATTCACTGCTTTTCCCTTTTCCTTCCTCCTTTCTAGACCCACTTACTGCGCAAAGAGATTGTTGCGAGATGTTCCTTGCCGTTTAGCTGCCAGGCAAAGGAGCTAGGATCTTCAAATCGAGCTCCTTGCATCGATCGACCACATCGGTGAAGCTCAAGGATCTTGAAATAACCGGGAATGGTTTCCATCGCTTTCTATTATCTCCCTAACAGTAGATTCCCGATCTCGATCCTGGATATGCAGCAGCGGCACTGAAAATACGCACTAAATTACCGTGTCAATGCTTCCCAATCATACCGACATGTTCTCTTGTTGGAGCTGTGGCCTAAGCGGCAATTGTGCCATCACACTACAAGTAGGCGAGCAGAGCCTGTGCAGTGGCTGATATGCAGGACCTAGCCCATTCTCTTCGTGTAGAAAAATCATGATGATCAGGTATGGATCCCGGCCCAATGGATGCATCCTCTTTGAGGAGATGAAGGTTCCAAGGCCGTACCCACAGAATGAAAGCGAAGGGCCTAGAACGGAAGATATGGGATGCGACCAGTACAAAGTCTTCATCTGTGAAAGAAACAGGAGGGTTGGAACGGAACAAGCGACGGAGTTCAAGTGAGAATACTGAAAGAGGAACAATGAAAGTGGGTCCGGCGGACACCCGCCTCAACAACTTCGCCACATCATCTGCCTGTTTAGGTTAGGAGGGGATACAAGCCACAGGGTGAATGCCGAAGGATCTCCACCTCAGCCTCATGAACTATGCTAACCAGGCAGCCGGGAAAACACCATCTCTAAGCCAAACTTTATAGGGTTGGATTGCAAACCTTCCAAGTGACCATGTACTGTTGCCTTGACTGGCCACATCTTCCCAGCCCCATTTTTGAGATCCGTGGATCTGATCACACCAACAATCGGTGGGTCCCCACGAGGTTGTTTGTGGCTGCAGGTCCTTCACCTTGTGTTGTCTAGATCGACCAATCATCGATTTTGCTGTCTGATCTACACAAAAGTCTAGACGGGATCCTTCTCTACTCACTTTGCCGTGGTTACCGGCATAGCTACATTGCTCAAGGCCAAGAAGTTGCTTTGCTAAAATTCCTGGTTGCATAACCTCGTGATTGAGTAAAAGGATCCACCAGCAACCGTATGCAAACAAGGATAGCGATCTGGTAGAGTGGAACTTGGGCGATCAGTATGGCGCACAAGCGCAAAAAAAGCAGGGAGCGAAGCGGTAAAACGGGGATGGCGCGTCTAGTGGCCTCTTCAATCACTGTCATCTAACACCATGAATCATGATCGGATGGATAGCTTCTGTATTCCGGGCCAAGACTGTTACCATGTCCAGACAGGGGTAAAAGTAAGGCATAGGCTGCAGATCGGTCTCAAGCCTGTGTTACCCGGTTGGCGGTTCTTGGTCCCCAGTGTAGCGGAACATGCCACGCACATAGAGGTCTTTGCTTTTTCCTGTACCGACTTTCGGACCGTATTTTGCGTCTGCCTGCAGAGCATGCAAGATCCATCAGATTTTTCATGTGAATCGGCCCTCAACCATGTGAGAGCACTCTCATATGATTGGTCCGTGATCCACTAGCCACAGGTGGCTTAGACTATTGATCAACGTTGGTTCTGTGGCGGTGAACTATTGAGGATTCACTATCCCATCAGGGCCATCACCAACAACCATCACACTCCTTGCTGAATCAGTTCACTCAACATAACTGCCTGGTTGTCGGTGAGAAACTGATTGGAGTTGGTCTTGTCCAGCGCTAACATCTGGATCAATCTATGCGGACCCTTACTTGGTCAATTATGTATCCAAGTGCCGCTAAGACCTCCCCATCTGGAATCCTAGATGCTACCCAATCTCCCATTCTCACCAAGGAATTCTCCTTCTGTGTTGCCGTACTCAACGTCTCAAGATTCGAACACCTCCTTCCATTGCTAGGATGCTCATCCCTTCCCTTTTCCTCCTCTTCTTTTCTTTTTCGCGGTGTTGGCCGGAAGTTGAGCATCTGATGACGTGATTAGCCATTCCATCCTTGGTAAATGACGCTTTACCCAACTAATGCCTAGAGATCCAAGATCGGCGAACTATATCTTATGCAGGTGCTATCTCGATCTGCTCCTAACTGTAAACGTTATACCTGCTCCTAACCGCGCGTACGCAGGTGGCGACAAGCCGATTCTTTAGTATCTGACATCAGGTGAACAGAGTGTCCCTGAGCCGATGCATTGCCTGTTTTGTCATGTCGCAAAGGATACTAGGTAGACTGCTTCATCTTCCATATCCCAGTTATTTCCATTACCACACATGGTCCATGCGGACCCACTTAGTCATTGCGAAGGATTTCACTTTACTGTTGAACCTGTTTTTTTCTGAACCCTGGTCACACACCATTGATACAATTCCTTGATTTGATCCTGTAGTGGTGGCCACTAAATCAAGAATTCCATTATGCTACACTAGGGAGCAAGACGTTGACGTTGAAGATGCGCAGAATTCCTGGATCAGATCTCAGACCAAACTCTCCGCAAAAAGAGCAACGAAATAGGCAAAGCAAAAATAAATAACTGTGGCGTTCGCATTTGGATTGGCTGTTTGTGATGAACCATCGGGTTAGTAAACAATACGGAGGTAGTAGGCAAAAGGACTACCAAACCAGCTGATTGGGCGAATGGTGATTGCTTTGCAGTTTAGGCTAATTTAAACACTGATCGGATAGACAGGGGTATTTATTGTTCTGCCTGGGGTTAGAGAACGGCACCCGAATGTTTACTTTTTTCCAGAAATGATAGTGCAGATGGGAAAATCGGAACCAGTGGCAAGACAGGGACACGTAGCTATAGTTGGCGTCTTATAGGATTTTCCGGATGCAAAAATTTGTTGCGGAAGCTGAATTGTGGACGGACTGTTTTGTCAGATCCAAGCACGAAACTCGCTTTCTGCTAAGAAAGACCTCTATTAGCCACTTGGAAATCTTGAAAGTGATGCCATGAAGCTGAGAAAAAAAAAATATTAAAGCATCTATCACAGATCCCGAAACACACAAAGACCGATGGCAATTCGCGATCGTGGTGTTCCTTTCCAGGTGTTTCAAGCAATGGTGCGATATAGTTCATCCAATGGGTGTGGGCTATCCAAACAATCTAATTAGGAGTATGATGACCCTGATGGCGAACTAGAAATGATTGAACGTTTCCAAAACTCGTAAGCCTATCATTGGAGCATAGTGTCTGTCTGCCAGGTGGTTCGTAGACAGTAACATCTAGATATCGACAGACGGGTGACAATTTCGCCATCGCAAAAGAAATTAGATCGCTCCAGTTATGCCATTTTGACTCAAGAACCATATTAATTCATCAATTCTGTCGTTAAAGCCAACAGCGTTTCTGTATACGCAAGGCTAGCCCGACAAGTTGAGTAGGCATGCTATATGTAGATATCGTACAGGAGGTGTAACTGATACATTTTCCAGGCAATCTTTTGTGTACTGTGGGACGTTTAGCGAGAGAAGATGTGCATCCTGGAAAGCTATTGTCCACTTTCCACAGTGGTTATCCTGACTTACTCATTCCCCGCTCATTATTTCCTGCAAGAATATATATCATTAAGTCCGGCAGATATGTCTCCTGACTCAGAAGATGATGAAATCAACTTTGCTAAGCGAAATTAAAGCATTTGTTTATGATTTTACTCAATAGTTCTGGAGAAATCTCCCTGAGCAATGTATTCGAAAGTATGAAAAGTAGCCTGGTGAGAATGGCAGACGGGAAAGTGGGCAGAGAAGCCTCCACCCGGGATTATAGTAGCTGTCTAAAAGACTGTAAAATGGCCCGCCAAAGCCAAATTCCAAACGATGTCACATGCAACATACGTATGTAAATATTTCATGCCGTCAAAATTTCCGGAAGCCGTATATTCATGGAGTCGTGCGACGACCCGGTCTGGTAAAATTGCAACAGTGTATCCTAATCTTTCGGTGTCATCTCAGAGAAACTACGAGGCAGAGTGTGTTGAATCCTAGAATGGTCGGCCTCGCTTGGTGTTGTTAGGGTTACATGTCCTTTGGGGATGCAGGGTAGAGTTCCGGATCGTTAAGCAAGGGAGTATCGCTCTTCGGGTGGGCACGAATGTGTTTCCAGGCAGATGATTCCCTGTAGACTGGGCATTTTTTGGAGTGATACGCATCGCATCACTGTATCGGTCGTGAACCTAGCTTGTGGGAAGCGCTGGCCCTGAATACTTGAATGAGCCATGGGGTCATATATCACATCCTGCTTTCACAAGGACCCAAATCATGCATGCATCGAGTTATCTGATATTTGAGTGAAGGAAGTACCTTGTGTATATGAACAAGTATGAAGCTCCAGAAATGTCTCCATGGGATTTAAGCAGGGCCCGCGAATGATGAGTATGGTCCGTATTGTACCTATATAGCGACACAAGAGGGAAGTGAGGAGCATGGTTGTTCAATTTTCATGTCGATGGTTGCACTATTGATTGCACAGATGGTGAGTGCTAAAGGGTGTATACTGATATGAGAGTCCTGGTACTCATATTAGTAAGGAAATGCCATCAGAATGGATCCTTTTGAACATGGGTTTCCTTTAATGTATGAAGCATTCTCACCTGATTGGCTGGTCTTCGAGCGAGGTCATCCATAACTTGCCATTTCGGAGAACACAACTTGCCAAAGCAGGGCTACGTTTGTTCTAGGGTGAGGCAATCGACCCGACTTCAGTCGTGCCTTCCTCTTGCGGCTCTCACATGTTCCTCACGGCTGACTAGTAGTTGTTCTCTCTCGACAAATCCCACAGCGGCTTCACTTCTATTCCCATATTGTTATCAGGATGATCATTGAAGGTCCCTTCGATGGCACCGGTCCTTTCCCGACTCTCTCATACTGTACCTGGCTATTACCCTCCAATTAGAGGCGCACCCCCCATCCCTATATCAGGGCCAAAGAACATTACACTCAAGGCTGTTCTCGAGCTCTTCACTGGGACATTCTGCATCTTTGTTGTTGCCGTTCTAATCTGGAAGCTTGGAAATTTCTTCCGTCGTTTCACGAAGGAAAAGGTCATTGGAGGAGGAAACAGCCCTGCACGTCGCTACGTAAAGGCCTGGTACGGGTGGGTGCCACTACAACGTCGAAAGGCCAAAACGTCCATAGTAAAACAATGTTTCGCGAAGGTCCGACAATGGGCCACATGGAGCTCAGCGAAGAATAGTTATTGTTCGATTTGGTGGAGCTCTAACCATACAGAGCTGGAAGCATGCAAGCAGGACTCAATGTGCCAGCAACATTGGAGAAGACATCTCAAAAAGCGCAAACCTACAACAGCAAATGCTATCCGCAGTCCCTGTGGACACGCCTTTAGGTCAGGCCAGGGCGCCGGGTCGTGCTCTTCCCCAAATATGGCCGGAGTTCTGCAATCGGATCAAATGGTCAACACTTGTCTTGAAAGATACAAACTACCGAGGAGACAGCGCAGGAGACTCTCCTCTGTAAAAGAGTTGTTCAAGGATGATCTGCGATGTGTGGCACCTGCGACCCGAGCAAAGCAATCTACAATGGCTTTTAAATACTGTACTATTCAAGCAGGCAGACCCTCGGCGCGCTCGCTCAATCATAAAAGGTTCCTCTCCTTGGATCAGTCTGCTTGCGTTCTTACAAGAAAAGACATCGTTTTCTATATCTCAAATAACGATCCTTTAGCAAAACCTAACCACTCCCTTCCTCGTCTGTCGGATCTCAAGATTACCTTTCGGAGAGTGGGAAAACGCTCTGAAGGCTCGTCGAACTCGCAGAGACCCACAGACCATCACCGAAAATCAAGGAATCTTCGAGCATTGATATATTCACGCAAATACCAGATTTGGTCTGCCCGGATGGGATTGAATGTCCCAGAGTGTGGGAAATATAGCAAGCATCGATTTCCAGTTCCTCCAGGGAGTCCCAGGTCCGAGTTGCTGACTGAGTTCTCGTCCCATCGCACGACTCTCGCTAGAATGATAAATGAAGACAGGACTACCGCAGGTTGGAGCTCATTAAGTGATTCGAGTGGCCTTAGTATCTCCGGCACTCAGAAACGTCGTGTGGAAAGAGCTAGTGTGATAAGCTACAAAGCAAAAGTCAGCACTACCAAAGCCCGGCAACCGACAACAATGCTGTTCAGGCAAGATCGATGCCAGTCGCAGACTACTCTTTCCGTTTCTAAGCATCCAAACCACGTTCAATTTGATAGATTCCAGTGTCCATCTACACGACTACAAAAATCAATACGGTCTCAGAGAAGTGATAAAGAAGGAGGACCCCAGAGTAAGAAGAAGGCCAACATGCTTGGAACAACGTCCGCACAATTTACTATTCCATTGAGGCATTTGAGCAGTTGGGAGATCATACTGATAGACGGCTTGGACCGAAGACTCGGATGGCTCTCTCAACAACTTATTCCGGGTCGAAGACCGTTTCACTTTCCCTTACTTCCCAACCATTGGCTTAATATTCGGACTTGGATCGTTTATGACCCTGCATCGCGTGCCCCTATCGATGCAAAGCTGCAGTTCGGGGATCCTAGATTCAACACACCCTCCCCAATGTCTCAGAATCCTACGCGTAAGTATCCTGAAGTCACTCGTAAAGTTGCCAACACGCCGCGGATCGAATCATGGAGAATAGCTGTCAACCGAAACAGAAGAGCATCGGGGCTGAGAGACCTTGTCAAACGATTAGAATTATACGACGACTCTGCTGATGATCCTCCGGATGGATACATCGACCCAGCCTGTTGGTTAATTCGGAAGCCGCCACAAGGATATCAGCTGTCAGCCAGACAAAATGCCACATACTATGAAGGAGGGGCCGGCTGGCAAGAAAGATTAGAGGACTGGCAAAATATCCGCCGTGGGTATCGCATCCGCAAGGCAATTCATGAAGGAAGGGCCAACAGAACTAGAGCAAAGCAAGTTGCAGTCGGTCTCACTCGGAGAAAGCGTATCGCCAGCAAATCTAAGCCGATGACTCCACCTCAACAATAGCCTTAGGGCGGTTCGCTAGGTGGGAAACAGCAATTTTACCATACAGGTAACGATACTCAGCTTTTCTCCTACCATATCCTGATTAAAATATCCCACCAGGTGATGTTCGCCCTTTTGCTTGCCATTTCAGTGCAGTGGCGCCCGGTTCTTACTGAATGGTGGATGTACAGGTAAACCTGTGGAAACAAACCAAGTAATTATACATGCGCTCGAGACTAAAAGTAACTATGATTGTAACTAAACAAGGAAATTCAACAGTCATGGTGCGATTTGCCCAGTTGCCAAAACTCCGGTAATCCCTCGTGTATCCGTTTTCTAGTTTAAGACGCTCTCTCATGAGAAAACATGGCCAACAAGCGCCAAGGTGTATCGTACAATATGAATCCCAGTATTTACTCGCAATGTTCGGCCCCGAAAGCCTGGTGGCAGTGTTCGCATCGAATTGCTTCGAGATAGTGCTCCAAGCAACTGTTTAGAAACCGGGAGGGTTCACGCGCTGGCTGACTCGTGTCCATTTCGGCAGCTCTGTTGCATAAGATATCAGCTACAGAGTCACATATCCCAATATCTTGCTTTCCATTCTATTCTGGTTTTCCTCTTCGCGCTCGCCAGGCCAAGGATGTGACATTTAAGGTGAAGAGGGATTGCACGATCAAAAGACGGAGGATAAGGGGTAACGTACTATGAATGCCTTTGCGGTATGTCTTTTCCTTCTTGTCGAAGAGAGTGTATTTATCCTTGGGCAGCATCTCCTCCTCGCGAGGCATTTCCCGATACCACCGGTCGACGGATCGCGCCTTCTGCCCGTTACGGGCAAGGGCTGCGCTGATGGTGTCTACCACACGATCGACAGTGCGAAGGCGTTTCCTCTGGCGAGCCTTCTGGGGCTGCGAGATTCGCCATGGGATCTTCCTATTATGGAATAAGAAGAGATGGTTAGAATTCAAGCTGGACGTCCTTGACGAAGACGTTCGGGGAGGGGCAACTGCAGCGGATTCGGAGAGTTCACGAGGACTAATTGGGTTACATACCAAAGAAGACCTGAGAAAAGAGGAGAAGACGCTTTGAACATCTTGTGTGCCACGGAATCTGGGTTGCGATAACAAAGGGCAAGTGTCTAAAGGTGTAGTCTCGGGCGAAAATCCCGTTCTGAGGTCAGGTTTACATGGTCCGTGCGTCGTCCGACCTCCGCGGATTAAAATAAAAAACCAATGAAGATGCCAACTGCTTACACGCCGATGATCCGGGGTCCTCTTTTTTACCCCGTCCCTGTTTTCTTTTCCTTCCGTCCTTCTTCCCCGCCAGGCTCGAAGCGTCGCAATTATTTTCATGGGGTTTCAATAACTTCATGATGTCGGGCGAAAGGGATTCCGGTGCAACAGGGGACTGTCCCTCCTTACCCTGGAGGGTCATGTCCTCGGTGACAGTCTTTGGTGTCGCTGCGCTATGCCGCTCGTTTTTGTATACGCTGAGTCGTCCCGAGGTCAACGGCCTCGATTCGTTCTTGGAGTTACTCGACTCTCGAAGTGATCCGTCACAGAGAAACAGAGGCCTACTCACAGGTACTATTCCCGCCGTTCATTGTCTTTCAACAATGGTCTGACGATCGATGGCTAATCTCACTATTTTACTACAGTTTCCAACCATATCAGCGTGTACGTACGTACGATGCGCCTCAAAATGGCCGAGGCGACCTGATTACTCGCGACAAAGAAGAGTACACTGACCGTGGCCGCTAACGAGCAGTATGGATGATCCGATCATGTGGGGTTTCCTACCATTGCGATACAATTTTGGTTTCTCGAACTGGAACAGAAGATGGGGGTTTGGCAGTCATGATATCTGCTTTCAGGGCAGGTATGGCTTTGTTTTCGATTTCCCGCATCGAAAATCTCAGCTAACAACGACGGATTGAAAGGCCCTTATCCCTATTCTTCACCATGGGTCAGGTTCTGCCCACCCATCGGCTCGCACACTCACCGTACGGTGGTGTCGCACAACCGGCCGTAACCCAGGCGATCCGATTGTTATCGAAAGGACCCTTCCCCGTTAACGCTCACAAAGCCCGACCCGAGCGACAACACTGGAGCCTACAGAACGTCTGCGTCGATCCCTTTTCCGACCTTCCCATGGCGTACACCACCAACGGAGAAGATTCGCATCTGGCTCCATCCGCATTCTCTTGCAACTCTTACTCCTGGGTCCACATTTTCCCGGAAGGCAAAATCCACCAGGCACCGAACAAGACAATGCGCTATTTCAAATGGGGTGTTGCTCGACTGATTCTAGAAACCAATGAATGCCCTGACGTCGTCCCTATGTGGGTAGAAGGGTTTGATCAAGTCATGCATGAGAGCCGAGAATTTCCACGGTTCCTCCCACGACCAGGGAAGGACGTTAGTGTCACCTTCGGACAGAAGGTTGATACCGACGCAGTGTTCGGGGATATGAGGCGGCGATGGCGAGAGTTGAAGGCCAAGGCCGAATTGAAAGCTCCGGAGACTCGCGACCTCGCCGTCGGCGTGTTGAGCGACGAGCTTCTTAACGGAAAGGAGGCAGTTGAGCTGCGGAAAGAGGTCACCAAGAAGGTTAGGGACCTTGTGTTAGATGTAAGACGGTCGAGGGGGCTGCCCGACGAGGATCCAAAGGAAGGTCTAGTAGAGACATGGATCCAAGAAGGACCGAAACGGGAAGGGAAGATGGATGATGAATCGTGGGTTCGTGATATATGAAGGCCTTCATATGTCACTGTATATTAGGCGGAAAGACAGCCAGAAATGTAAATCATCAAACTAGAAGAAAATTTGGCCCAAGCTCTATCTTACTGTTACATCAAGCGACTCGGTTTCGGTGACTCAGTGGTGGGGGCGAATTTATCAGATAAGATTTAACAGCTGCCGTCCCGCACTTCAGCGTCATTTCCAACTCTCTCCTATCCTCCACCCTCACACATCCCTCGATGCCCAAAAAGCATCATAGGTCTACTTTCACCAAACCGGCTAGCACCGCTCACCATACCCTAGCTTCCTCTGGCCCCCGAGATGATCGTTTCCGGTCGTCAGCAAATGAGCAACCGTCCGTCAACGACCTGATCAGCCATCTCCGCCGTACTCAGGTTTCCAGCTCTCCTTCCGACGATGGCACCAGAACTACTTTCAGGACAGTCGCACCGCGATCCGTCCATCCCTCGCTGCGGAATCTATTAGAGATCCCCGAAACCCCACCTCCCCGCCCTCGTCCGGATGCCCGCCGCGCCGGAGTTGGTGGGCGACGGGTGAGAAGGACCGCTGGACCACCGCCACCTGAGAGCTGGTTGCTGGGAAACTATTCGCATGAGAATCCAGAGGGAACTGGTATAGAAGCTGGTGCAGCGGAAACCGAGAGAATCATATATCGGCTGGATCGCCTCCCGGGGACGACATTTCCCCGAAGAACCACCCTGCTACATATGCTGCTGAAATCTATGGCTTTGCATTGGGCCTGGCATCTTGAATATGATGGGGAGTTCCTTGCACTCCTACCTAGTCATATCAAGGTGCTGCTGCTCAGCTATATCAGCATTCATGCTAGAGACCAGCCGTTGCGGGGCATGATGCATGGTCTAAGACCGCTGATTGAGAAACATCGGTCTGAGGCAGATGATATATCGCAGGATAATGACTTGGAGATAAGCCGTCTGGATCTAAGTGGTGCCTTAGGACGCTGGATTACCTGGAAACAACTCTCTACCGAACTGCTCGTGTCCGTGAAACCCAGTGCCATGCAACATACTATGAAAAAGCCCATCCCAGCGTCCTGGGACGATGAAATGAACGATGATGACAGTCCTACCATCACCGGAGATACGCTCCTCCCTAAAGGTCTCACCCAACGATTGCGCTTTGAAAATCTCCGTTATCTCTCGCTAGCACACCCAATCCCATCTGCTACTGACTGGAACTCGCTTATCAACCTCCTCTCCCGCCTCTCGACCATAACACATCTGTCATTAGCACATTGGCCCGTCCCAACAGTCACACCCAATGCCATTAATGCCAGTGTACGAAACCCAGCGCAAAGGTCCCTGACCTTCGCTTACGGCGGCACGGACGCATATTCCTCATTCGAGAACAACTGGGCCGAAGCAGCCGGTATCCTGCGGAGGCTCTCCCGCGCAACTTACTGTCTGAAATGGCTCGACCTGGAAGGCTGTGGCGACTGGGTCCCAGCACTAAATTGGGATGGCGTTGGACCAGATGGTGAGGCGTACATCGCTGGTCCGGAATGGAATGGGTCATGGAGAGACATCGAGTTTGTCCGTCTGGGCCCGGGATGGCTTCCTCATATTGATGATAGCGAGTTACTGCCTCTTCCCCCTTCTGGACAACATGGCGCTGGATCTTCATCTCACGCGTCGCCATCTTCCGTGCCTCGTTCTCTAGCATTCTCAATGCATGCTCCGTCTCCTGATCAGCCCACGGATTCTGATGATCTCCCATGGGACGTCGAAGTGGAGCGAGTCAAGTATCGTCGCGAGAAGGAGCTGGAACGGTATCGGGAAGCCGTGAAAGCTGCAAAAGCAGTTCAGCAGCGGGTACAGCGGACAAGAAAGGCGGGCAAGGGAAAGTGGGTTCATTTTTCTTTTGGTTTAGAAGGGTTAGAAGACGATGTCCTTAGACAATTGCTCGGGAAGGAGTATCTGAGTCTTCTACCTTGATGCGATAAAACCGGTTGTAGATACATTCGTTACTAGTAAATAACGCCATGGTAATATGGCGAGCCAGAGGCCGTTTCAGGGCTCTGTCAAGTATATATCAAATTAGAGTCATTTTTAACAGTTGATGTACATGCATTTCTGGTTCTATCTGTTGTAGCTCCACTGACTGTCTGCCTAGCCACTCATGTCACTTGGATTGCAGAATTCGAACTGATTAGCATACAGATTGCGCTCTTAGGTTGTCTGTTTATACCTGCAGGCTAGAATAGTCATATAGCAGTCAGAAGCTGTACTAGTGTAGATATCAAATACGACGAGGGCGTGTGGTTTTGAAAGGCTGATAGTAACTTTTCCATTTCCCAAACCAGTATGTACAGTAAAATGAGCAGCATGATGGTATTTTCTTTGAAGCAGAACGATTATCCCTGTTTTTACTTCCGGCCCCGGTTGAACGTCTTTAACGGATCTACCTTCTTCTTCACTCCGGCAAATTTCCGGCCACTACCCTTGCCGCGATTCTTCTCTCTTGCTTTCCTGATGCGGTTCTCGTTTTGTTTTCTGAAACTCACAAAGCCGACGTCTCCACTGGAAAGACCCTTCTTACCCTTGGCGGGCATCAGGTACTCTGGGATGTGTTTGAGGTGAGGTTGGACACGTGCGGAGCGCAGCTCGTCGTCATGGCGCAGCTGGCGCAGCTCTTCGGGGTTCTCTTCGAAGTGGCGCTTGAGTTTCTCGCTCTTGATCAGCTCTTGACGGATTTCCCGAGCGCGGGCTTCCTGTACGGCGAGTCGTGTTACGGCGCGGAGAGCGTCGGTCATACGATACCGGAAGGCTTCGACTTGCTTCATTTCGAAGTGGTATGGTTTCACCTCGTGGCCGAGCTTGCCTTGCCGCTTGACGATCTTCGCGAGGACGGACTCGTCATGCTTGGAGGTTGCGGTGGAGGTGGGCCTGTGTTTTCCGTGCTGGTCCTTGGGGACGACGAATGATAGCGCCATGCCGGTCTTGCCTGCTCTTCCGGTACGGCCGATTCGGTGTGTGTAGGACTTGGAAGTCGAAGGAAGGTCGAAGTTCAGAACGCATGCAACATTTTGGAAGTCAATGCCGCGGGAGATTCCGTAGTCTTTCTCTTTTCCTGATACCTTGCGGCGCTTGGACTTCTCTTCCGGCTCTCCCTCATCCTCGTCGCTTGACCCTGCTTCGTTGGTGGTTTCTTTGGACTTCTTCGACTTCCGGGCTCCGATTACCTCTTGCTCGTCTGCGGCGATGAGGATATCGTAGACACCCTTGTTGAACTCCTGAACGACGTGTATACGGGAGTTGATAGGCAATTCCGAGTTCAGCACGCAACTCTTGATTCCAAATTGTTCGAGGAACAACTTCACGCGATAACAACGGTCGACATCGTCCACGAAGATAATAACTTTCCCTTTGATCAGCTGAAGCTTGAAGATGACATAGGTTAACAGGAACTTCTCGTCTTCCGCGCATCTAGAGCAGACAACATTAGCCACCGAAGCATAAATATCCACGAAACTGGCATGAATCTCACCTGACAACAAATTGACTGACACCGGCACCCTGGTCATCCTTGTCTTCTAGTTTCAAGGTTACAGGGCTCCGACAGAACAAACCCTTCAGAGTATCCACCTCGTCAGTGAGCGTAGCACTCATGAGGAAAGTCTGCACCCCACGTGGGATAGCCTTGGCCAGGGCATTGATGTCTTCCTCGTATCCATATGACAGAACCAGGTCTGCCTCGTCAATTACAAGATGTGTTAAGTTCTCCAGGGACAAGGCGGAACTGCCAAGATTGGTAACAACACGAGCGGGCGTCGAAACAACCAGATCGGGGTAATCAGCCAACATAGTGCGCTGGACTGCATCCGAAACCTTTTGTGTCAGATTTACCGAGCGTACATCCTTTCCGCAGAAGGCTGCGAAAGTGGTGACAACATTCTGGACCTGTTCCGCAAGCTCTCGAGTGGGGACGAGGATAAGGCCTGTCGTTGCTTTCAATGAAGGGTCGGTCTATAGTACGTATGATTAGTATGGCTATACTTGAAAACTCGAGATAAACATGATAAAGGGTATACGAACAGCTTTCTTCTGAAGAATTGTCTGCAGAATGGGAAGTACATATGCGGCAGTCTTGCCAGATCCGGTCTTCGCACGAGCTGCATCTTATCAGCGCCTGGTGATCTCCGACAGATCGCTATTCAGAGCAACACATACCCAAGATGTCCTTTCCCTCAAGCGCCAGTGGAATCGCCTTGGCTTGAACAAGTGTGGGCTTCGTAAATTTCTCTTTGATCAGAGCTTGGCGCAATCGCGGATCCAGGTTAAGGCTCTCGAAGTCGGCGTTGTCGTCCTCCTTCTTTTCCTTCTTGTCTGCGGCCTCCGGAGAGGGAACATCGTTTGCGTCAAGCTTCCGCTTCATAGTGTCGATTAAATAAGTCCAAGAAACTTCGAGTGTCCTTGGTTTGGGTGGCTTTTGAGGTAGTGAAGATATCTGCTTGAAAGTTTTCCTCATCGGGCGGTTCAGAAAATCTGTCGGGCGGTGAGACTTTGGGTGGCAGTATTTTCTTTTCGGCCCCACCGCTACAGATATCAGTTTGGGAAATCATAAACATTGCCTGCCCATCTCGCCTTACTCCATATCTGAACATGCTTCCGTGGCCCTCGGTTGAGCTATATAACAATCAATGCATGCTGGAGCAAAATAATGCTCATTTAAATATAGTGACCACTATATCCGATCTTTGACTACTACATGGGGAATAGTACTGGTGGGTCTCAAACTACTAGGGTTGAAATATATTCTCAAGGCAATATGTAACATTTCACAACTTCAAGTCGATAGAAATGAGTTTGTAACAGAAATCAGTAAACTAACGATGGTTTCAACATGTGAGGGTACAATCATCGGAAGTCTCGTATTATCTCACAAAGGAAGGCGTAATAGTAATATATCATCATGCTATGCATCCATTAACACAACAGATACACTCGTGGGCCATGGTTGAGCACGGCTGCCATAAGTTAATCCCTAGTGGTGTAGCACGATAGAGAAAGAAAATTGAATGCGACGAGGTTGTTGAAGATATGATGCATAGCAATAAATAACGTATCAATGGGAGTAGCAAATCAGGTTTGCCTTAACACATATCAGCAGGCCATTCGAGCAATTGCATTCGTTTAATGGAAGGGGTCGACAATGTGGTTATCAAAGAAGAACTCGCAAGAAAGCCAATGATCGTAGCCAAAATAACAGAAAGGACGAAGATGAAGCAAAGATTGCCGCTGAACCACATGCGAGGTTCTCCATTGGAGGTCCCTTAGTAGCCAAGTTCGGTTTCCCTTTTCGCATATAAATGGAACTTGGCCATGGATTCCTCGCTGATATTCCCAACGGGAAGAACCCTTTGGTTATGTTCAACTGTATAAATTTTACCAAAGTTCAATCGAGACATCATGTGTAGCTTTTGATACGGCTCAGGAGTTACCTCCAGGGGGTCCTTTGTCATTTTTGGCTCGTTGGGACCGTACGCCGGTCGTGTGCCTTTTATATAGATGATTGCATGTTTCGAGGGATCCACACTCGCTTTGGCGACGCCCAGACGGCTGTAGGTGTGCACCGGGCTAAAGGCTTCGAATAAGCATAAGTTGCTAGATACGAGCACCCTCTAAGCGACTTACAAGCACCATGCACACTGAGCTTGTTCCTTGAAGACTACCATGCGGCGGATATCAGTGAAGATCTTGGCGCCGAACTTTCCCTCAGTTATCAATTCACGATCACTTGCATGGCTTTTGGTACCCCCTTTCAGAGGCGCTGCATTCCCCATGCCCTCGTGCCAGACGACAGCAAAAACCTGCATACATAGTTAGGTGAGTGATGCAATCTCGGGAGAGACATCCATACTCTTCCAACTTTGAAAAACGTCCTGGGATGTTCCTGCACTCTGTAACCTGGTTATAATCAGTCCATGATCTTCCACATCATGAGTAGCTACTCGAATGTTGAAACGTACGACTATCAAGCGGTTCACTGGGTGTAGGACCGGAACTGACAGGCGGGGGAATATTCTGGTGAGTGAATTGTCCGTTCTGTGACAAACGTCAAATTCAATTATCTTGCCGGTTTCAATCCTTCTATACTCACACTCGTGGCATTGTTGGCCGATGAATACCCCTTATTGTCTCTGGTATACACAGGAGATCCAGGAGAAGGTGGCCCAATCGTGGCTTTGGAAAGCGCATATGTCACATTGTCCACACTTTGTGGATGAGGTAGACAACCAATGTAACCCTGACCGCCTCCGGTGCCATGGCTAGTCAAGGAAGGTAGGTGATGACCAGTATGAGATATATTGGCATGTGCTGACTGAGGCTGGCTCATGAAGTGGCCCTGCCCGAGAGTATAGTTACCGCCAGGATGGGTGGCACTAGGTTGTTGACTTATGCCAGTCATTAGGAAAACGGTATTGCTTTATGGAGCTCGCAACTGTCTGACTCACATTGGTACTGGGGGCTGCTCGTTAGGGGCCTGGAAGGGAAGGCTATGATTACCCTGATACCTGGGAGAATTTGCATACTCGGGCGACGGTAGAGTTGGCTGGGAACGTGGTAGTTCTCTGTCGTTAGGCGTCTTAGCAGGTATATCTACCAAAGAAAGTCGTGTTGAGTTGCATACCCCCTCGTGGCTAAGACCTGGTCATACAAGTCGCGGCTCCTTTGTGGTAAGGCAGAGGCTCCTAAGCGATGCTATTAGTGAGATGCTTAAAGCGGCAGGAGTAAAGCTAGGCCCCCTTACCACTCTGACGGCGGCGGGTCGGTTCTCTTCTTGGGTCCCGGTCGGAAGCCATGATTACAGCATCTCCTTAGGGCAACATACAAGAGACGACACGGTTGGAGGGGCGCCAAGTTGGGCTTTATCTGAACCAGCGTGGTCAAGAAGAGTTGGAATCCTGGCATTGTACCTGCAATGGTCGGATGGGAATCGGGCTATAAATCTTTCCAAGAAGTGCGATCGTCCATTTTCGCTGGACGCTTGGAATGGTAAGAGAGGATATGCGGCTCTTTTTTCTGGTTCTCTGCCCCATCCATAGCCATTCCGATATAATTCATCGTGCATTCCCTGTCGACATCAAGTCGAGCTGCACGCCATCTGCCGCTGGGTCTTTGTTGGCACACGCTGAGTCGCAGGCGTGGGATGCACCTGACGTTCGCTTCCGAAAAAGAAAAACAGAGAAGCGATATTTCGCGAGGACCGGAGGGTTTTGTGTCTTCTTGAATTCCGGTTGGTCTCCTCCATGGTTGCAATTGGACTCCTTGATCGCTAGACAGCATTCACAATGCTTTCTTTTGTTGTTGATTCCCCGCCGGAGACATGGAGGGTCCGCCTGAAGCGCCAATAGACCGTTGGTTCATTTTCTTCTAGCGTCAGTCTAATGCTCTAGTCATCGTCACTAACCAACACCGGTCGCGGGCCAGTCACCATTCCAACCCATATATACGAGTCAGTCTCACCGTTAATCCGGAACCGAAGGAATGAAATATGAAACGTGGTTCAGTGGCTGTCGTCATCCACTAATCTACCATATGTTAGGATCGTCGTTCTCGAGACTCAAATTCCCGATGTAACCATCCACCGTCTGTATGTACTCTGTCCGGGTTCTGCCTGTGGATTTGCTGGAAGGTTGCACAGCGCTTTGTTTGCTGATCTCGGATTCATCCAGGAGACGTGTCATACAAAGGCACCTTCCAGTGCTGAGTCAAATCCATGCGGGAAGAAACAAATAAGACAACCACCACAAAGAAAGAAGAAAAAAAGAAAAGAAAAATATCAAAAGAAAGAGCAACCCAAAACGGGGCGCTGACAAGAACCGGAAATAGGAGCCGACATCGATAAATGATTTAATAAATACTTCGTATGGCCCCGGCCCGTCCCGCAGTGGATGGTCTTTGGGCGTTGTTTTGCTTTCCGTTGCGTGAACAGTGGTTCTGCCAGTCATGTTCGCATGGAAAATGCCTGAGAACATGCCAAACTTGGCCGATCGTGTCCGAAAATATTTGAGGTGGAATTGGCATTCTTCGTCCCAGCAGAATGAACCGGTGAGTCCCGTTTATTTGCATGTCGATGTATACCATAAAGACCCAGTAACAGCCATGGATTCTTGTTCTTCTTGCTGAAGCACTACTATCTGCTACACAATTAATTATTACTCACATTTGCATATGTGTTCTCGCCCATCAGGATCAAAGTGACGAGCGCTCTACGCAGCCGTTGCCTACGGAAAAGTTGGAGATGCCCGGGGAAGCCACACATCCTTCTGGAACGCCCTCACCGACTTCTCCAGAAGGTCCACCTGGGTTGGATTTGAAAAATGGATCGGGGTCATTCATTTCCACCCAAAATTTCTCCTCTGCCAGCTGTTATGTTGAAGTTAAGGAATCCCTGTCCCATCCCCATGAGGGCTCACCCAATATCAATTCCCCCTTGAATCCGTCTGAAAATGAAACTAGTAAGGGCGCCAATGCTGGTATTTCACTTCTGGGCAGATCTAAAGACCCACAGGAACACCAGACTGTGCCAGACGGACCCGATACTGCGCACATTGCTAAGATATTGAGCGCCAACAATAAATTATTAGCCCTGCAGAATAAAGTTGCCCTTAAAAGATCCGAGGTACAAGAGCGACGCACGGCACTAAGGTTCAAGAGGGAGGAAGAAGCCGATATCAGAGCGCAGTTTATCAGACATGTTACCGTGGCTCAAGGTACTCCAACAAGCATTCAGTCATTGCTTCAGAACAATGAAGCTCTTCTTGACGCCACTGGTATATACTCGGACATGGAAGCAGAATATAATAAGGCTGAAAGCGAGCTGGAGCGGGATGAGTACACGCTTACTACAGCTATGGAAGATTTTGCCCGTTTATCGCATGGTCATCATTCTCTTCCGACGCCCAATGAGCCGCCCCTAAGTGATCACGATGGTTTGAGTGACGTGAGATCAACTACCAGTTCAACTTCAGAGGATCCTTCTGATGTGGTGGACTATATATCCTGTGTAACCGACGTCCGCATGATTCAAGAGCGATTGAGTGAACTGGACAGGGAGTGGTTGTTTATCCAGGAGAAGAAAGAGGAACGAGAGTCCTTGAATATCCCCATGGACGATGAGTCTATGGAGTTTCTTCGCTCCTATGAAGCAGAAAGGAGAGAGATCTGCGACGAATTATTCCATATGCAACAGAATATGAATCAGCTGCGGACAGTTTGCTTCGAAAAAGGACATCTGACACAAGAGTGCATCCGGGGCCGTGACTTCATATATGAGCTTTATCCAGCTGCTCCTCCCAACCAGCCGGAGGATCCTCTGAAGGTCTCTGTAGAAGAGGATATGTCTCCTTTCGACCCTATCGAGGAGAACGTCAGTCAGAATAAATTCGTCAACAAATGGCTCCTTCACCGGCTTCGACAATCAAGCGTTGAGATTGGCCAACTCAAGTCCTTACCCGAGATCAAAAGCCTATGTGATCAGGGTTACGATGAGCAAAAGGTCAGTCAGTTGTCATTGAACCAATGGTTTGAGGACGAGGCCACTGTATCTCCCCCGCCGCCACCAATCACTAGTGATATGAGCGTTCAGGAGCCTGGAAGTGTTAGGGATACAGTTTCCGGGAGCCATTCGATTTGAGGAGTTTCTTTGACACTGAACCGGCAGAAGAGCATCTCGTATGACACAGCCATCCAGACGAACTTACTCCTTCGCTCCCTCCCATCTTTCTTTTTCTTTCTTTGTGACTTTACATTATGTGGTTTGATTTCTTATTTGTCCCAGTTGACGTTTCTGACTCCGTTCCCGCCATCTGATCCTGGGTTCACTTCGAACCTGTTATCATCTCAGATCGTTATTCGCGCTGATTTCGGGCTGTGTACACATTGTACTATAACTTGGTAGATTGGGATTGTTGGCGTTTGTTGAATTACCGATGGGAGTTTGCATTTACTTGAAGTGCATTCGGCCATCTCTTTTCTATTCTTTAAATCCCTTTGGCATTTGCAAGGTTAAACCCACCACAATCATTCTATCTACTATCAAATTATGAGTCAGGCATCTATTGTCCTTGAAGATACTTCCAAGCTTATAATCATGGATCTTGCTTAAGAGTTCAAGAAAGTAAAATAGGTATAATCGTATATAAACCTAAACAAATGTTCTTGGTGAACTATATTGCATCGACACATGTATTTCATTGATTGAGTTCCATTAACCATGACCATATCCATACCCATTCCATTCATATTCCATGCGCTTGTCGTGTTGTTTGAAAGAAAGTTCAAAATGAAAAATAAAAGCATACTATTTACATTTACCAATAGAGATTATCGTGAAAGTTCTGTGGGCAAGAAGACTGCAGATCTCACGAGTAGCGAGTTTCATCGCCGTCACTGTCACTAAGACTGTCCCGGCGACGGCTCCGTCCTCCATCACGGCGGTATCCCTTGCTCAATCCTGGGATCGGGTGGTGGTAGCTCCTGGTTCCAGTATCCTCTGTGTCAACGTTCGAGTACTGGTATTCGGAGCGCGAGGGGGCAGACGAAAAGTCAAGTGGCTCGGTGTAATGACCCGGCACGGACCGTTTCTCACGCTTGCGGGGACTGCTCTGGCGCGAGGACGATGTCGGAGGTGCATGGTGACGTCTTTCGCGACGACGATTGTGGCGGCGAGTAGAGGGTTCGCGGATGCGGTGATGCTCTGTTGGAGGCTGACTCAGGACTTCTTCGGTGCCTGGGGTGAAAGAGAAATCACGTCGCGTGCTCTTGTGACGGCTCGGCTCGTAGGCGTAATCACGAACCTGGCTCATCTCGCTCTGCTGGTAGTAACTGGGTGGATTGGAAGTGTCGTAGTCACTGCCGTAGTAGGTGCCGTCGGCCTCGGCGTTGATGCCGCCGATTCGGGCTGGCTTCTCTTTACGGTACGCGCGCATGTCTTCATCCGCCTCGTTCTCATATCGCTCGTTCTTGTGTCGTCCAAGGAGTTTCTCTTTAAGTCCGCGCTTGCGCCTGGGTCCGTCTTTCTCTGTTATTTCTGTCGCTGTGTCGGTGTATCCTGAGACCGTGTAGCCGTCGTCATCGTAGCGCTTGCCGACGACACTGCCGCCCCCCAGCTTGGTACTCTTTGTCGCATTACTTAGGGTTTCGCCGTCGGGTCCCTTGCGTCGTAGAACTGTCGACTTGTAGTCTTCCCAGTCTCCCTTTCGCCAGATAAATCCACCGTTCTTGGCCCAGAAGAAGAACCAGATGGCAGCGAGAACAAACGCAGCTCCTATGAGGGCAAAAAGCGCCAGCAGGCCCTGCATGTTGATCTTATGCGGGTCTACCGCGCCATCACCTGGGATGTACTTCGATGACCCATCTCGCGCTACGAGGGAATGGGGCTTTTCCGCGAGTGACGCTGTCACCGATCGTTCAGTGAGGGCTTCGACCTCTGGTGACAGCTGAATTTCTCTGAGCACGTCATTGTTGTCGGGAGTTGGAATGCTGGGGAAGTCGTTCCCCACTTGTATAACTGGAGGCATGTTGGGCGAAGAGAGTAGTCAAGAGCACGTAGCTCAAGACGGAACTCTGATGCAGTCAGTTGGTATGTCCGATGAGGTAATATGACATTCCAGATTGCACAGGAATGTGGATGTACCACCCGCTGGCGAGTGTACGAATGGTCGGAATTCTTCGTCTGGCGGTTGCGGTCCACTATCGTAGATTAGGCTCGATCGGGGTCGTAGATAGGCGGTATGTTGGAAGGTATTCGTAGACTATTTGCTTCTCGTGTCAATAGACGCTTGATTCTTGATTAGTATGCAAGAATGGAGAGTTGTAGATATTGAGGACTTAGGAAGCAGAAACAGTTCGATCGCCGCCCGAAATTGCGGTGGTTGGAGTAAATCGAGAGGCTGGGGAATGACGCTTTTCTTTTGTTTGGGTGATCGCGTTGGACCGGCAACTTGCTGAGTCAGCGTTGCTTATCTTATCGGTCCTTATCGAGACAAGACACCACCTGATGTTGATCCCAAGGGAAGTCAACCAAAGACCTCTAGGATCTTCGTTTTCTAACAATTTTACCAAACCAGAGGATGGATATTTTCGCGCAACCGCTATCGGAGACGCCAAGGTACACGTACAATCAAGAAACTGCGAATTTCGGGCCCCGCGTCCAACGCCGCGCCGAACCTGCGGATGGCTTAGAGTGACTACAACGGCACAGTGATATCATTGAACAGCTCCCTGTGTATAGTTAATGGTAAACAAGCTACGGGAGGTACTACAACCGTCTCGGACATTGGGCATCAATACCAGCATCATCTATCATGAGAGTGAGTAACGATTACTTGGCATCGTGCAACTCATAAAGCAACTCACAGTGACCGAATCCATCGGTTCCGCTGCTGAATGGAAGCGCTGCCTGGTCGAAAAGCAACACCCTGGTCCCGATGCACTGCGTTTCTTGAGCCAATCGGTAAGGGGACGGTTTTCAAGGAGACAGCATGACGCAAAGCTTGGGATAAGGTTAGATCCACTCAGCCTCAGCTGTGAAATGAGCCAGGATAGTCGGCTGATTTGAAATGCGTATCTTAGCCAGTCATTGTGAATGTACTGCAATGTGTTCCATACTCTGCGATCGTGACAGCAAATCTCATGCGGACGGGAAACTAAGCCACTGGCTGCATGGGACTCATGTAGCTGACTGCCAAAGCACATCCATCCCTTACTTCTAGTCAGATGACTCATTATCAAGGTCGACCCTTTAGAATAACGATTGTTATTCGAAGGTCTCCAGCCCGAGCCCATGAATGTGATAGAATGTGACAAGTGAAGCCGTTTAGTGCCCAAAAGCCTTATTATCTGAACCGCTCACAGTCAGACGTCATCTCTAAATACGATGCTGTGGTCGTGTGCCCCGAGATTTCCAGCATCCCCTGTAGAGAACTCTTGACTGAATCGCAGAAACAATAGAAGTATCGGGTGAGAGTCATCCGAGGCAAACGGCTATTTGTCAAGTCTTGAAACAAAGATCAAACAGTTTCCTCGTATTTAACCAAGCACCCATGAACTCGGATCGACATTTGTCGAGGATAATTTTCTAGCGTGCTTCCATGCCGTTCATACACCGAACGCTCCACTGAAGGCCTGACGGGTAGATGACTGGAAGAAAATGTGATACCGAGTATATATTGCCTGGAAGTAAATAGTAAGTGGGGTTTATGTCAATCAAGGAACGCTACTCCGTATGATCCAAATGCAAAATGATGGATCGTGAGAAACCTACTGCTGACTCTGCAGATTCTGCCCCTCCAGTTGCGACATTTTGCGTTGACAATACTCCGGATAGAGTAGGAAAGGTTTTTTTTTTTTTTTTTTTTCCTCTTTCTTTTATTAAATACCACTTTTTCTCTACGAAATATGCCTCAGTGGAGGCGATACATTGTGATTGGGCTGCGATCTTCTGCAGCTTCCGAGGTTTTGGGCAGCGATTGCGGAGTGAAATTATCGTACCGGCTGAGGTGAGGTTCTACATATATAATCATAGGAGTCATGGTGGCAATAGGCTTACCCGTGTGTTCAATAGTACATTGAATGGGCCATAGGGAAACGGATTGAAAATAAGAGAGGTGGAAGAAGAGTATTAGGTACCTGAAGCTAACACTAGTCGTCGGTATATACTTCAATTCAAAGACGGTTCTCTTTGTCCCACTTCCATGGATTGGCTCCGTCGAGAACCACGGTTCCCAGTCAGAACGGTAGTATACGGGCTGGACCTGACAACAACCAGAAAACCAACAAGAAAAGAAAGGAAACTGTGGTAGACCAATATCTGTCATATCCAAAACCACTGAGTTATTATTAGATGATACGTAACATCCCGGTCTCCTGCTGTGTTCAAATCCGACCTTTTTAATACGTCAATGGATGAGCGGGGACGCATCTGCAGATCGTCTGTACGACTGTTTGGTATTGTTAAAGTGGCGTTGAATAGAAGAATATTCGACATGAAAGTAAGGATGAATCTTGACTTGCTTTGACTTTGCTGGAACAATTCGGGACCTGTGGATTTAATACTAAGTACTAGTACTCTTCCATGCCATCGGTCAGGGTACTATATACGTACATACCGGTCACGGGTATGTATGTATGTATGTCGACTTCGCCCATCAGAACGGGTAATAAATCAGCAAAAAGTCGATCAGGCATCAATCGCACCAGTGGATTTGGAGTCTGTCTCCACTCCCTCCACTTTCCGTTCCGACTTTCTTTCTTCTTCCATTTGCTCAACAGTTCATTAGAAAGTCTCACCCTACAGATGCTAATCTTAATCTATTATGATTGTTGTTGTTATTATTATTATTTTTGTTCTTTAGATTGTGGATTCATTGATCGGTTTTCTCAATCTTTGCCAGATCAGTCGATTTTTGATCAAAAGAATTAGAAAATCTAAATCAAATTGAACAGAAAAAGGACAAACAAAGATGAATATTCTGATCTAAAAAAAAAAAAAAAAACACCAGGGAGGCAAGATCTGTAATGATCACAATTTGCCTCATAGAGATTCCGACCCAGGAAGAAACTTGATGTTGAATCGCTCTTTTTATGTGATTTGAATTTTGAATTTCTTTACAATTTCTTCCGGTGGTCACGACCCCCGAACTTAAAACCATCGCCTTTCGTCCCTTTTCATGTGTCGATCGCCCACCCTTTTTCTTCCTCTACTCGTTGCTTCTGTTCCTATCGGTCCGTTCGTCTGTTCCATTGTAGTGTTGATTGATTGATTGATTCTGAATCCAATACTGTATCTGGATTGGGTCGTCTCTCTGAGTTGTTTTCTTTTCCTGAGTACTGTTTTTCTCTGCTTCCAGATTTAAAATTTTCCTTCCAGCCTGGTTTGTCTGTCGTTTTTATCTCCCAATCCCCACTATTAACCCCACCTTGTTGTGCCCTTCGTCAGGCGCAGAAGCACTCCTCCATTCATCATTCGTTGTCTTTCATCCTTCACCAACCAGACCCTCGCCGGTGACACTTCTTTCCTCTTCTGCATTTACGTACTGCAGCCCCGTCGGCTTCTCGTCTCTCAGTCCTCCACTCACCGTCTGCCAGAGCGACGCTGCAGCGCGCTTTTCTCCTCTCTGACTCCTCTTCGCTCTTCCTCTCTTTTTCCATTCTTTGACCCACGCACGCCGTCATCCACTCTCCAACCGACTGCCGCCTTTTCCACGATCCACAGTGTTCCTGCCAAATTAGCTTACGACCGACGCTTTTTAGTGGTTTTCTTTTTTTCCTTGTCTTTTTTTTCGATGGATACATTGCATGCAAAGGACGACTGCCACATTGCACCCACTGCTCATCGTTGACATACAGCAATCTAGACGCGGCGCCATCGAACAATTACTTGATTGATCTGCAGGCTCTGCTCCATCTCTGAGACTATCACAGAGAGAGTGGGTTACCGGTAGAGCGACCTAACCGGGGAGGGAGAAGTATTGCAGGGAAGAGAGGGACCGAGAAAAACGATAGGAGAAAAAGAAAGAAGCGACTGAACAGGTACCCAACAAGAACACACACACAAAAGGAAAAAAAAAAAAAAAAAAAAAAAAAAAAAAAAAAAAAAAAAAAAAAAAAAAAAAAAAAAAAAA